ACGTTTCGTTTTACATTAAGAATTGCATTAGTTCTAAGTTATTAAGCATATCGTAATATAAGTATTCGATTTCAACAATTAAATATGGCATTTAATAAATATCTAAGATTAAGCAAAACATCCATAGGAAAGAAATATTAAGTTTGAACAAATGAAGACAGTGGTTTATTTAAAATTTGAATTTCGTAAAATATAAAAAAATGACTAAAAAATGACATGTATAGAGAACATAATTGTTTTTAACGTTCTACTAATAAAAATGTGGTGTATTTGGTTTAATCTATTGATTCTATTTTGGGGAAACGAATACACTTTGATTTTGGTATTGACATTAATTGATTAAATAATTTAATATTACCACATGTGTATAAAATTCATACTTTGAATGCTTTAATTATTTATAAAAAAATTGACTTTTTTACCTAGTAATTAATTTTTTTAATTCTAAAGAAGTTTTATTCTAATAATTTTACCTTCAAAGTTACTTAATATTTTTACAATTGTATAAATCATTATTACTAAAATTATAAATAATTTCTAGATAAAAACGCCAATACTAGCGATGGCATTAGATGATAACATAAGCGATGACGTATTTGAAAGCATCGAAGAAGCTGAAGTTAACCAAAACACCAAAAATCTATTGACCACAGATACGAATTATGATAAAAGACCTTCGTCGACTGGATACAGGGATTATAAGCTTTCTAGTGCTACAAGAAAGCCTTCGGATCCCTCTTTAAAAATTTTACATAAGGTAAAATAAAATTAAAAAAATAAAAAAAAATAAATGAAAAAATATGATAGTTGAATATATTATTAATATTTAAGTCAAATAATAGTTTGTGGGATTGAAAAATATGTCATTATATCATTAAATTTATTAACTGATGTACACGTTTTTATTTCAGACTATTTTATTAGGCGACAGTGGAGTGGGAAAAACTTCCTTATTAGTCAAGTTTGACACCGGAAAATTTCAGACAGGCAATTTTTCCGCTACCGTCGGTATAGGTTTTACAGTAAGTGCTAAGTATAGATATTAATAAAAATGTATTTTACATCATTTAATTATTTGATTTCACAATAATTAGTTGAACGAATAAAATAATTATTATTGTTGTTTGTTGCTGTACACATCACTATGACTTCATTATTAATTTCTACATATTTATAAGAATGTCCCCCTTGTTTATCAAAAATAATTTCTAAAACGACTGACTCGATTTGCATACAGTCTTTTGTATTTTATAGAAGGTAACAATTTATTTGTGCACAGTTAACCTATTTTACGACCCAATTAAACACAGACGCAATTAAACAATGGGAATCCAAAATAAATCAAAATACAACACACTGTCGAGGACAAAAATACCAGCAAAGTTTCTGCTTTTATTACTATAGATAAATATAATAATAAATTATTATATATTGAAATAATATTTTTAAAAAGCCACATTTCTTACTTTCGTTTAATTTAAACACTGTTCTTATCCTAATAAAAACAAATATGATGGACATTTATTTTTAATCTTTATATACATATATATCAACTTTATCCTAACTGGAAAGTGGTATCCCTAAATACATATTTCCTATTTTTAATAAATATTTTAGTTAATTTTAAGAATATTAATATAAATATATATAGAAATTTAAAATATTTTTTGAATAATTTCCGTGGGCTATTATGGTTGTATCCAATTTTATTTTTAAATTAAACTCATATTTTTATTACTGTTCATTTATACTGATCGAATTTATGTCATCCTTGTTTCAGACTGAGTTCCTTTTAGAATTATAATAATGCAGGCCCGTTCGCTGAAATCATTCAGGGAGGGGGGTTATTATACATGTTATTTTAGATAAGAAGTCAATAAAAAATTACACATAATATCCATAATCAAAAATAACAAGATTGAAGAATAAATAAATTGCAACAAAGTCTGAACAGCTTAAACGCTGACTTGTGGGTGTGGTTTGTAAAATTATCAATTGTAAGTTCTATGAAAATGTTTAATACATAGGTAGTGGTGCCTGGTGGCTAGTTGTAGACTAAATTGACAGTTTAACACACATTGAGAATATTTTTTCTGTACCCAATCGGATCGTTGAAAGTATGTACAATATTCAATTGGATACCGCCGTTTATGGATAATAACGTTAGTAAAATATGCATTAGTAATATATGCTTTCATTATAATACATATGGGAAGAGGATGCCCATTGTAATTGGATGTACCACTTTTTTTGATAACACTATAGTGTTATCAAAATATTATTCAATATATTGAATATTTTTTCGCTAATTTTCCCAACGAGTTTCGTGACTTGGCTTATTAATCAATTGTTAGACACGTCGGTTAATCATCACATCTTGATTAAATCTATAAATAATATTGAAGACGAATTTTACAATACAGTCAACTCGCGGTATAGCGAAGTTCGATATAACGTATAAAACTGTCGGACCCTTGAAAACCTCGCGCTATAACGAAAAATCAAATGTATTTTGGTCCCCTCGATATAACGAAGACTTTTTGGCTAAAGTTCACGCAATGTAACGAATTTTTACAATTTTGGAGATTGATACAGCACATTTTACGAGTTTGTTTCAGCCATTCTTATGCGATAAGATAATGTTCATGTATCGTTTATATGATACACGTCTGTTAAATGTAAATTGTATTAAATATAAATAAAAATTTGTTGCTATCGACAGAGGTTTGGTTGTCTATGAAGTTCTCAATGACGATGAGATTTTGAATAAAGCTGATGACGAAGAGCCCCCCGTAAGCTCGAATAAAGCAAAATTAGGTCTCCGTGCCGTCTTAAGTTTTTTACAAAGACATGATATTGACGACAGTGTATTTTGTAATATTCTAAATTTGAACAACACTATTAATCGCGTAAGCGCAAATGAATACACACAAAAAAAAATCCTATTTTTTTAAAAAATAAATATGTATGTATGTAATAAACAAAAAATGTATGAATGTATCTAATAAAATATTGAATAATAATCTCATATTGTATGTAGGTATGTAATTATAAAAATCTAATAAAATTTAAATTTTCTTTTAAATATTGTTTGAACAAATTTTGTTGATTTATGCTTTTGATATAATGAATTTCGATGTAAAGAACTTTTTGCTCGGTCCCTTGAAATTCGTTATATCGCGAGTTGACTGTATTATGATTTTAGATAGTTTAAAACGATCATCTAAAGAATTAACGAAAATCTATTAATCGTCCAATAATAAATATTCAATAAAATTATACGAAAAGATTATGTATAATTGTAGTTATAATTAATTAAATAAATAATAAAATAATTAGTAAATATTTAATACTCGTAAATTAATATGTAAAGAGTATAATAATTTTAGTCTATTAATATGTATAGAGTCGCCATTTTATTGACTTTGTATACATTTAATGATGAATTTTTAATTTGAAACCGATTGTACATTAAAAATATAATACTCAAGACTAAGCATTTATTTATTTATTTATTTGTATTTATTACTCATAATACATACAAATACAAAAGGTACATAATATCTTTTAATTTTCAAATATATTTGAAAAATAAAGAGAAAAAAATTACCATGGCTTCCTCATATATTGTTTTATATTAATTATAATAAAACCAATTGTAATATATATATAGCCTTAAAAAATAAAGAATAGAAACAAATTAAATATCTATTCATTTGTTGAAACTTATTAAATTGGTGATTTATTTTTATAAATTCGTTAAAATAACTTGTAATTAATTCTTTTGAATTTTTTTAACGAATGAATTAGGCAACTAAATTCAAATTTAGGTAAATTTAGGTAACAAATATAAAATAAACGCTTCTCTATTGTAAAGATTTTATTTTTACTACTGTATTGCATTAGTATTAGTAGCAATACAATGTTATCAATTATTATTTATTTACAAAGGTTTTGAATTCTAAGCTTACACCATTCATTTCATATGATAAAATCTATAGCTAAAACTATCGGAAAAATAGAGAATTTTTTATTGAATTTTTTAATACTTTAACATAGTCATCAAAACTAACTCCAATTATTCATTTGTTAAAAATCGGCCATAAAAAATATTGAAATTACAAATATTTGTTAAAAAATAATTCAAACTTAACGTGTTGGTAACACTTAATGCTAACATGTTAGTTATAACACATGTTACACAATTGATTTATTGAGTGAATGACAAATTTATTTTCAAATTTAGTTTATGAAATTTACTTTAAATGTTACGTGTATTTACAGATATATATATAAAGGTATAAATATTTATGGCGACTATGAATCTTAATTATTTTTGGTTTTAATTAGAAAAAGAAATACATTAAAATTATTTTTATATTTCATTTTTTACAAATATCAATTAATTACTCTTGTGATTTATAGATTTATTTTAAACCTAAAAGTGCTTCAAATAATTTTTATAATTAATCTTCAATAGGTATCCTGAAGTTTAATTTGTTCATTATTCTTAGACGGTTTTGTTTTTTAATTTCTGAGTTATTTTATACTAGCAATTTTTTAAGGGAAGTTTTATTTCCTTCTATTTATAGCTTATTATTATTTAGCTTTTATTAGCTTTATTATTATTTAGAGCTATTAAAACTTTGGGTAAAAAACAATCTATAAGCTTTGTTCAGAATCATTTTTCGAGTGCGATGAAATATCGATGCTTCACAAACACTCATACAATGAACTCCACGAAAAAAATGTTTGTATTAATAAATTTTTCATTGTTCGATTTTTTTTATGAAAATTTGAAAACAACAAAACGATATAAAATAAAAATATATTTAATAAAGAACCGTGGTGAATCAAATTTTGGTAATGCCTAATTAAGTTTTTTTTCTTGACCATTCAATAAAATATGCAAATTCATACCATTATCTACCCTAACTATTAGTATTCAACTTACATTTAATGTTTTTACCATGAATTTTTAAGTGTAATTTTCCCATTTGTAGTGAAAATAGAATTTATAAATGTTTAAATTGACAATGTATAGAGTGGAAAAACTTATAAGTTAATGATTTCGATTGTCTTTCCATTCCTTCTCTAGTTACTACACAACGGACTATTTAATACATAATATTTAATGCTTGTCTAATCACGTATCATAAAATATCGTCACCATACAACTACATTTTTATCAAAAGGTAGTCAGTGTATTTTCCGTTTTTCTGTGTAGGATATACCTACCTATTATGTTTATTATAAAACCAGGAAAATAGCGAACCATCTCTCTATTATACAATGTTGACGTTAATGAAAACAATGGAAAGGGAAATTCGATTTCATTCAGGAAATGTCTCGAATTTCTCGACCGAAATTACGACGTATTTCAATCATGCAGGTATAGATAACACAATGGTGTATTTATATATATATAGAGATAGAAATATGCAGTATACGAATTATATACCCGTATTGAATGGCCTAAAAGTTTTTTCAATGATGAGAGGTGTATTTTTAAAAGTACGGACGGGCGGATATTGTTACTCGTAACATATATTATCATGAAAATAAAATCAATTGTAAAAGCATCAACCCGTTCTTACCAGAGTTATGCCATAAAAACGTATACGAATACCGGAGATCTTTGAAGGACATATACTGCAGTATGCACGCATACAGCTAATTGTGTGTATAATACAGTGTTGTCGTACGCAGTTTAGCCGTGTTTATACGTAATACTACTTAAGTTCACGTTAAAAATTTGTGGTACGAGTACACCTACTCTTGATCGTTGTATACCTATGTATGAAGAGTGGTTGGAGCAGAAGAAACTTTTGAAACGTCTCTTAGACCGGCGCACAAGCCTTGTGCACCGCTGTTCGAGTACATTTACTAAATTAGTTGGACAGGCCCCCCCCCCCTTACACGAAAGCGTCTCAACCCGTCACGGCCGTCGGTCTGGATTTCTAAAGGGGAAGGGGAGAAGGGTTCATATTTACAAAAAACGAGATGATCCGAAAAGAAAGAAAAAAGGTTTGATTCTTCTCGGAAGTGTCCGTGAGATGTCCTTCCGCGCATGAGTGCGCCCGCTCGGCCACTTCGCGGCCACACCGCACACGTACGTATTCAAAACCGTCGCGGATTTTGCGCGATGGGTGCACGCACGGGCTCACGCCGTTGATGTGTACGCACGGCCATGGAGCAATAAACTGCAGTCGGTATCAGGCTTTATTGTAAGATGCAGTAGGACACTAATTGTGCATCAGGAACAATAAAATGTGCTGTAGATTTAACGAACATGTGCACTTGAGTACTTGACTGTACTTGGATACATCCACGTCTTTGGATTCATTATCTGCTTCATCAGAATCAATAAAATGAGCGTGAAGAGTAACATGTTACATTCGCAACATATATTATACTTGTGCAGTTGGAAAAAAATCCTTACAACAAAGCCTGGTCAGTACCGTTGGCCGTGGAGGGTTGCAGCCACAATGTGGCCGAGAATCCGCGCGGCGGCTACGTGTGCATCCGAGTACGCATCATTAGCCCCCAGATGGTAGCTATGGATACGCCGGGCTTAGCGAATAAGCTCGCGCGCGCCGCCGGCAAACGAGTCCGTCGCGCGTTTGTCGATGTGTGAGGCACGTTTGTGTGCGCCAGTGTGTTTGCGTTTGCGCGCGCACGCACGCGACGGCGGCATTTTACGGCGGACGGTGGGCACAGGGGAAAAGCTTCGGCTCGCGCCACAAGTGTTCTGATAGAGCCGTCGCAACAGTTCGCGTGCCGCCAGCAGCGCCTGTCGCCACTTATTCCCTCCGATAAGTCCTCCTCGCGACACCGGACGCAGTACGATTACATGATCGCCGTCCCTATTGCTATTGGTAATTGTTCTGGTTGTTGTTATTGTTGTTGTCGCTGTTGTTTTCGTCGTGGTTATATCGTTCATTTATTTGTACGCGCATAATATTGTATTGTACAGTGCGATGATCACGTTAGTGCAGTGAGACGACAACCTCTTACCTCTCCCTACCCTCCCCCCATACATACAAGTACACAGTGTTATAAATCATGTCCTCTGATCGGGTGTTCGAACGCCGAGTGGTGTCCAAACGCAGAACGTCTGCCAACCTGGAAGAAGCGCCGGTCAAACAGTGCTCGAACGGTTGGACCAGCGTTGTAGCGGCTGCATCCGCAGCCTCATCGTCGTCTAGGTTAAATGCGGCCTACAAGAACTTGCAGAGGACACCGTTCCAACCACATCCTGATATCAGTTGCGATTGGTTTTTCAAAGTGAGTTGCGTTTGATCGAAGCATGTCAACAATTTAATGTAGCTGGAAAAATATTTGATTTAAAAGTAAAAAGTACTTCACGTATGAAATATAGGATATAATTTTAATATAATATTATATAAATATAATTTTTTATTAATTCATATGGAAATACTTATTTTTACACTAAAAAACCACAAGAATTATTACGCGAGAAATTTGAAAAATTTCCAACATTATAAATTACAATTTAAATATTTATTCTTCATTGTCTAATTCCAAAACGAGTCACTTATCTAAAAAAACAATTCAGAAATGACAGTTAAATAAAACATAACGTTTTGAAATCAATGCAAGTCGGCGGACCCAGAACAATAATAGGTAAAACTAATTTAAATTTATACTATTATAGGAAAATCAAAATACTATAAAATACAATGGCAATAGACACTAAAAAAACAAAATAATCTATAAAATCTAAAACATTTATTTTAGTAAGCAAATAAATTCAACGAAACTCATTGATCATATATCCAGTGAATATAATTATACGCACTATATATTTATATTTAAGTATAAAAAAGCCAAGAAATCTGAAAAATTTTAATCCTATTCATCCCATTACTGTATAAAAAAATAATAACATAGAATATTCGTTTATAATAGAGGTGATAGTAATGCATTCAATTTTATATATTCATAGTATAATACAAATACAATTTTAGTACAATACTGTAGTTCTAAATATTAGAAATCACCTATTTATACATGGACTTTGACTCGAATGTTTAGAATTTCGTATTGCGTTTGCTGTATTCTATCATGTGCATGTGGCACTAATTGGATGAATGTATACAATCTAGAATTTTAAAAATTATTCATCTTGATGTCCATCGAACACCTCATGCATTTTCTATTAGTTTTTCAGGTTTACATTCTAGGTGTTCATGCCAAAGATATTTTGGTAAATCCAATTAAAATATAAAATATACATTTATATTAATATTAGGAATTACTATCATCGATATGCTATGAGTTATGAAAATATGTTTATTTTCGTGTTCAAAAATTACTATCGAATTACATAAACATAAGTCATAAATACACAGTAGTTATGCATACACACATTACATGTTTTTTAAGTTATTTTTCTGTTAATTTTTAACATTATTTATAAAAAAAAATAAGTACTGAATTAAGTATTATGGTAATAATTATTATTTCATTATTTATATTCGATTTAAACAAAAAATATTTAAAGGTACATTGAGAACCATATCATCAATGTTAATTACTTTGTAATATAATTGTTATATTTTTAATACTTAAAAAATTAATTTTAATTTCGAAAGCACTTTTTGAAAAATATTTAAATCCGAAATAAAAAATTCTCACATTAATATCAAGTCACGATCTTAAAAATTACAATTATACTTCTTTTTTACAAATATGTATATTTTATTAATTTTATTTTTTAGATTTAATAACAATCAAAATATATTAACAGAACATTATTTTTATACTCAGATAATGGATGCACTGTATGTTAGTCAATAAAATAATACAACAAACATAAAACAATAAATCAAAAATTGAATTTAGCAACCTATTATTTTGTAACACCTGTGGTAACAATTAATATTGTGTACCTACCAGACGATAATTTCCTTAAATTCCATATTAATTATACTATTCCAAAAAGTGCAGGTGTTGCATTAATAATTCACGTTTATATTATTTATAATACATAACAAAGTAGATTAACTTTCTATATACATACTCTAAGTAATTGATGTATTTTTTTACAGTTAATTTTGAATTGAAAAGATATGGCTCTTGTTAATAATGAGGAATAATACAATTTATGATATTAATAATAACGAATGAATTAGAAAAATAATATATATTTTATTTAATAAATATGTAAAAAAAACTTTCTTTACATCAATTTTATACCATATACATTTTTTTCAATTTAAACTCAATAACTTGTAAATTGTTTTTATAATTTATATTAACTATATAACGTATAATTATGTACATAAAATCTCTAGTCTTTTAATTGCTATTACTCACTTCTAATGAATTTTCTCAAAATGTATGCATTAACAGAATCCATTAAAAAGTCTCTTTCGATTACTACTTTAAAAAATAATCAATAAGTTACTTAAATAAAATTTTATTTATTAAAATAAGGTCAAACATTTTTTAAAACTCATGAATAAAAATATATAAATATAAGTATAAATAAACATATTAATTATTTGATGAATTTTTAAATAACTCCCAAAGAGTAATCAAAATAAATGTAAATAATCGTATAAATAAAAACGTTAAAATTTATTTTTATTATAAATCACCCAATGTTTTAAAATAATGTATTATTTTCTTTAGATTATGATCAAGTAACTGTATTAATTTTATACTTGTTAATTTATTTATCATTAAAAAATATTACCTATCATATAACATAATTATTTTTATTTCTCTAAACAATTTATAAATACACTCAATTATTCATTATTTGTTCTTTAAATTCAATATACAAATATATTCTAATGATGAATTGTTTTTGATACACAAATAATATGTTATCAACATTGAAATATCAATTTTTATATTTAAATAACAACGAAAAGTTATTCAAGATATTTAACATTACAAATATTCTCTTCAATTGAATTGTTTAATACAGAAAATCAATAGTTACGATTGTAATAGCTTTATCACTAACGGAAAACACATTCTGGGTAGACATTCAATATAAAGGAACTTTGTTTTAGAATTGTTAATCAGTTAAATGCTAAATAACTTTGAAATTTAACCAGTGATGTTATACCAGGTCTCTCTAATGATAACGTATACAATTATCTTAGAATATTGGAAAACAATAGAAACCATTTACAATTGGAGAAAATAGTATTTTCAAGTACTATGTAATGAATTCTGTGTCTTGAAAATTCTTCGAAAAATAATTTAAATTACACGAACAATTAATTCACAATTTAATTTTGAAAATGTATGGTTCAATTCCACGTTGTACCAATTTATTTTTTAATTTACTATATCTATATTGTTTCATCTTTATTATTATATTTTGCTGTGGCTTGTTTTTAAATTAAACCGTATAAATATTAAATAATATCCGATACAAAATTGTTTGTGCGAAAACTTTTAAGTTAATTAATAATGTGTAAATTGGGTACAAAATAATTTAAAAGCAAAGGGTATCAATATTTATGATAATAGAGTTTAGAGATTCGGTCAATACATTAATACATAATAAGAATTGAATTTTTAGTTTTAAATGATCTATTTCAATTATTATAACTCATTATTTCATAATTACACTTTGCCCACTTTTAGTTGTTTTCTACGCATAAATATTTTAATATATTTTTCGATGGTGTTTTGTAAATTTTTATACTGATCGAAAATAAATCCCAAATATGTGTATGCATTTGAGTTGCATATAGTATTTTTAACTGAACCAAAAAAATTATCAACAGACCTAAACAATAAAACGGTAATTCTTCATTTTTTCTATATTTTAAATATCAAATACTATAACTCTTAAATTTTATTAATTATTTCACTATTTTATGAAGTCCTTATTATTGCTATCATTTTTAGTTTTTTTTTACTTACATTTGTGGTATAATAGTATGTTAAACTATGGTTTAATATTATTTCTTTTATTGTTCTGTATCTCATTGTTGATTTTTTGTATAACCCAAGAATCTAAATTTTTCTTAAAATAAGAAAAATAAATTATTTTACAAAATACGAATAATAAATTAAATAAAGCGATTTGAAATCTAATAAATATCATTTAAATGATTTCTAAAGGCTTATGTTATATTATATATTAAATATATATTTATGATTTATGTTTTTTGTTAGGTTGATTTGTTATTAAGTACAGTATTGTTTACTTTTCAGGTGATGGTTCTCGGTGATTCCGGAGTGGGGAAAACTTGTCTGTTAGTCCGTTTCAGGGACGATATGTTCTTGGGTGGCAATTATATTTCTACCGTTGGTGTAGATTTCAGGGTGAGAAGGACAATCGTTTTTGGATTTAATAAATCGTCGTCTCGCAAGAAAATGGATAAAAATATGGCATAATAATATGGTTTTACCGACAAGCATTATTATGAGTATATGATAATTTAAATTATTATAATTACAATTTGTAAATATGACCTGAAATATGTTTAATTTACCCGTATTATAAAAACGTTAAATTATGTACACGTTATGTACACATGTGATAAGAGAATGTAGACAGCACTGTTTCGTTATTTAGACAGTTGCTATGAACATGTGGTAACTCATTGGTCTTCTATATAAAATGAAGTATTTAATAATGATATTATTGCTTTCCTACTATGGAAAACAAAAAGAATCACCTGTATCTTGATAATTTATCACGATCATAAGATTATTAAACAAAACAAAATCGTAACAGTTGAATAACGTAGCTATATTTACCATTAATATAATATTAATCATTAATATTTAATGATATTCCTTTTATTCACTATCTTATATTTGAATATTTTTTGAACTTGTGGGTTATTTTTATGACTTTTACTCAAAAAAAAATAATAATAATAATAATAATTGTAATAAATAAATAAAATAATAAAAATAAAAAAATAAACTGTTTGTTTCAGAATAAAATTATATCTGTCGATGATTCCAAAGTCAAACTACAAATTTGGGATACTGCAGGTCAGGAACGGTTTAGGAGCGTAACACACGCATATTATAGAGATGCTCATGGTAATATTAAAGTAAAATAATTCATACATTTATATATGTTTAAAAAATAAATCTTTACCAAGCACATTATTTTACATTTCATGTTCTATAAATTATATGCATATTTTTTTGAAAAATAATATATTCATTTGATAAAATTAAAATAAAATTTGTAATTAAATGAATTTGTAATTTAACCTCACTAATAAAAATAGTTTTATAATTTGCCATATAGTCCACTCAAAATAATAATATTTACTTCGCATTAAAATTAAATTTGAAGTATAAAATGTCGAAGAACTATTTTAAGCTACTTTTTACAAAAAATTAAAATAAATATTTTAAATTTCAATTAATGTTATGTTTTATCTGTAAGTTTTTTCTAATACTTAATTAGGTTGGTGAAGTTTTTCACAAAAATATTTACATTAAACTTAAACTACGGATTGGTTTAATTTTTCTAACACCCGTAACAACCCAACTACCCAATATTATGCAACATACATACTTGTACTCAGTGCCAGATTACCCATTAGGCAGAGTAGGCGCCCGCCTTAGAGCTTCACTCATTTAAGGGGCCTCGTGAAAACGGAAAATTATATTTTTTTTTATTTAATAATATCTGTATTTTATTTACGAATTTACAGGACAAAAGTCATTATGAAATATAATATATATAAAATTGAAGGTGTTATACGCAGTAATAAAATAAAATTATTTTGAAAAAAATAGAAATAATATAAAAAATCATTCATTTTTCTTGCAAATAAAAAAATTTAATAAAAATGATTTTATTTATTAATAATAGTTGGTTATTATTAATGCTATTTATTTTAATTATTGCATAGTAATGTTAAATATGTATGTAAAAAATAATTTTTCAGGCTCAAAATTTTAATTGCCTAGGGGCCCACAAATGTTTAATCGGGCACTGTTTGTACTTCGTACTTACAATTAATACTTGAATTTCAATTTTGTCCTCTTAAGTATTTCTACATACAATAAATCAACAGTTTTATATAAATTAAACTGTAATTTATTTTAAGTCGAGGAGCAAACTAGGCATTCCAGTGAGATGTAACTATTGAGATATAAAAGTGCGCAATATTTATAAAGTAGTGAGTTAGTGATAATCATAACTAAATTCTGAAGAGCCCATGTTCTTTATTATTTTATTTTGAATTTTTTTTAAAATTTATGAACAAATAGCAAATATATAAAAATAATTATAGCTTAACATTTTTAAAACATTTGTTGCAGGAAATTAAGTCTAAATCGAGTTGTTTAACCCCTCTGTCTCTCTAAAAATGAAGGGCCTCAATGGATATAATAATATGTTATAAAATTATTGGATTTGGTTGAGCCCTCAATTTTCCCCTATATCACCACCTAATATGTGTCTGTAGGAAAATCGTTGAAATTTGATTCCCACTCCCAACTTTTGAAGTTATGCCACGGGTGTACTCATCATGTTTAAAAATACAGTAAATAATTTAATATATAATTTATTTTTCTATTGCAGCACTTTTACTTTTATATGACGTAACTAACAAAATAAGTTTTGACAACATAAGAGCATGGCTAAGTGAAATTCGAGATTATGCTAATGAGCAAGTTGTTATAATGTTAATAGGTAAATTATTATTTCAAAATTGTATTTATTAACTTTAATATTTTATTTAATCGCGTGTTTTCGTAATTTTAAGGAAATAAAGCAGACTGCAATCCCAGTGATAGAATGGTCAAAAGAGAAGACGGCGAACGCCTAGCAAAAGAATATTCGGTTACTTTTATGGAAACTTCAGCAAAATCTGGTCTTAATGTCGAAATTGCTTTTATGGCTGTAGCAAGGTACGACTATCTAAAATAGGATTAAGCAACTATTAATTATTAATATTCATGGTAAATAAAGTATATTCATAAATAAAATAAAAATTACATTAAACATTTTAGAGAGCTATTGTTCAAAAAAACCGGCATAGAAAAAAAAGGATCCTTTAATGTACAAGATTATGTGAAGGAACAAACCAAATCAAATTGCCCTGCATGTTCTACAACATAATTTGTTTTATGATAAAAGAAAGGTTAGATTTATTCAATATCTTTACTTAAACAATAGTTTTAAGAGTTGAATATATAAACCATACATATAAAAATTATTATTAAATTAATTAGTATTCGACTGTGAAAATTAGGTTGTATAATTTTAAATTTTAACATTCTTAATTTTAAAGTGTGGTATAGTTTAATAATATAGTAAGTCCTCGTTTAACGTCGCCTCATTTAGCGTTGTTTCGCTATTGCGTCGTAAAAGTTTAAGTCTTTATGTTTCGTTTAACACTTTTACAGTCTTTTTTGCTGTCTGTACAAATACGAATTATTTAAATGTTGCATAGTATTTTTTTAATCAATAAATTAATAATAAAGAATAAAATAATTAAATCGTGCAATTATAATAACTATAATAATACATGCATACATTGTTATTTATTGGCAGAAATCCATTATAATAAAGTGTTTGTAAAAAGTGTTTCACTTAACGTTTTTTCGGTTAACGTTGTGTTTTTCAGGAACCTAACCTTGACGTTAAACGAGGACTTACTGTATAGGTAAAATAATTAACAATACAATAAAAAAAAAATGTATTTGCTATGTATTTTGGTCGGGTGAAACTCCACGGTTAGAGTAATATAGGGATGGGTGAATGGTATTGTTGTATTTATCTATTGAACTTAAAACCAATGTACCTAACATTATTCTTGAAAAAACAATTGTTAGTGAAAAGGTTGGATGGATCAATCTATAGTACCTACTAAAGAAGGTTGATATTATAAAATAACCAAATTTCTTAATAAAGTAGATTGAACTTTTAATATTCTTACTTTCGTAACAAAAGGTAACTAAAATTAGAGAAAAACAAAAATTTCAAGTACCTCAGCACAAACTTCATTAAAATATTTCAAAACTATAATATGTCTTTAAATAAATAAATAAGTTTGTTTTATGGAAATAAATGAATAAATACATATTTAAGATTTAATTATCCAATTTCATCAGAATTTTATTTTGTAATATTTATTTTTACGATATTCCAGTAACTTATCTACAAATTTTATTTTGTTTTGTTTTATTTCCTTTTATCTGCAAAAAAAAAAACGTAAAATCATGTATCTATTTTTAAGTCTTCAGTATAAAATTTGAATATAAAGAATTATTGACTACAAAATGTAGCAGATTTTCGTGATTTTTATCGTTCTATCAAGATTTAATATTAAAACAATTGTTAATTTTTTTCTTATTTTTTATATATTTGGGATATTGTAAATTAAATTTTCAAGAATTTTTATTCGGCTAAAATTATTTTATCTACATATATATTTATAATTATAATTATTTTAAACAAAAATGCATTTTGGTATTTAAACTTAATTTAATTTAAGCACTTTGATCTATTATTACAGGGCCGTCCCGAAGGGGGATCTTGGGGTATGTCTCAGTCCCTCAACAAAAACACCAATCGGTAGTCGGACTTGTTTCATTATTGCCTAGAAGGACCTAATTTTACTTACGGAAAACAAATATTACATATTTCATAATATAGTGTATATACGAATAAAATTTATAAAACTACTTATTATCAGTGTTCGAATTGGGGGGGGGGTGCAAGGGAACGGAGCTCTTCTACTATTTTTTTTTTTGCGTAACCCAACTATATTTTTTCATCGGAACGGGGGGACGCCACGTTCATCCTAATTGATGTCCAAAATAGTTTTTATGTGAATTTCAATTTACGTCGATTTGAAAACGAATTTTACGGTTTATAATATCAAAACTATTTTCATAATTAAAGATTATATGGTGGTTATGATAAGGGACAACGTCATCATTTCTGAAGAAATTTAAATAGTAATCGATGAGATTGGTGTATTATACTTTATACATTGTACAGTTTGTTATTAATATTGGCGATCGACGATATCGTCATTTCGGAAAAAAATAAACGCCCGCACCACAACTAATCTTCTAAGGCCGTGGCCCACACTAAAGAGTAAAAATAAATAAAAACAAAAACCAAATATATGATTATATTATTCGATTCATGAGACTGCCTGATCGCCTACAATTATGTTAATTATTATCTTATTTTTATTTTCTATTGTAACATGTAGGATGTTGATATTACTATCAAAATATATTATATTTGGAATTTAAATATTAGTTTAGTTGAAAAGTGGCATTCAAAATATATGTAAGATTGGCGGAGGGGGGAGTCAGGGACAAAACACCCCACGGGTCTGTGTTAAATAATTGCACACATGGAATGCAATTTTCAAATCGTTGGACTGAGCTCCTCTACTTAATTTTTCCCAATTCAAGCATTGCTTATACAATATAAAATATTATTATTATTGTATATATATATATAATTAAACTATCAATTTTAAGAACGTGCGACACTGACACATATATACATGTTAAAAAGTAAAACTACATACAGTTAATTATATTAAATACGAGTACATTGTGTAAAAAATTATAGTCGGCATTTTTCATATTGTTCACCTTCCCCCCCCCCCATCTTGATTTTCATCTTCGGGACGGCCCTGATTATTTACATAACATTTTTAGATTTTCGAAACCAATTAGATGTGACAAACTGAAGAATGAGTATCTACATTTTATGCACTACAAAAACAATATGCTGTTTATCACTTAATCAGCAGAAATGAATGAATGCCATTAAAAGTAGAAGACAAATATTTAATCTTAATATATTTAGCCACGATTATAGTTTTTTGTTAAAACGTACTGTTTTTTCTAATATATACTTGTAGTATGTAGTTAGTGTATTATGTTGTAAAATAATTGTTGTAATAATAAATACGCATTATTTACCAACTATAGACTAAATTATAATACATACTAGTTAATACAATAATAATTAATAATGTGTTATTAATTTAAATAACAATATTATACCTACGTTATAATATTTATTTGTATGCATAATGTGAGTGTATAATATCGCTATGTTACAAATTATAATTAAAAAATTGTTATTGTTCTAATTTATGGTTATATAATATACATGTATATTTTTTTTTTCTATCAAAAACAATATATTTAATGTAATAAATCCATATTGATTTTTATAACATTAACCATACCATTTTTGTACTAAACTATATTGAGTAAATGTTTTAATATAATTAAAATAAACTGCCATCATACAATTTCTTGTTTTTTTTTTCATTCATATGATTAACAATTAAATTATATTAACAATATATTGAATTCTAAATACTTTTATGAAATAGGCAATAATAGTAGGCAACCATACTTACACACATTCATAGTTAGATCTATAGTCAGGGAATTGAGAGACAAGCTATTTCAAGAGGAGGCAACTTATTAGGACTGAAACTCGAATATAAATGTATACCTAGTAACAAAAACACAAAATATGATCAATGGTTATTGATCATATGTAGAGTACGGATTTTGAAGGCATTTGCCTTTTTTTTCTATTGCTCTAAAACGAAGCTATGTCAGCTACAAATTCGATTTATACTGCTATGCATGACATTTTATTTTGCTTTTTTTTTTGCTTTTTTTGCGTTTTTTGAATATTTATGCTTTTTTGGGCATTTTTAGTACATTTTTCAAAATGTGTTCTAAATAAACGTATTTGAAACGTATTTTTTAATTTTTATTTTATTATAAAATAATGTGTTTTCCAATATCGTATATTGTATATGGCTCAATCGATTTTATCTCGTTATGTTTGATTTATGGGTATGTTTATCGATGTAATTTAGATACGTATATAGCTTATTGAATATAGTAGATTATTTTATCTTGAAACGACAATAAACACAAAAATATATTTTTGCTCTGGAAATTATCTACTTAGAATTACAGTTTAGTTTTCGTTGCAACACCATATAGTTCGTTATTCTTACCGATAGTCACTTACAAAATGCCAAAAATTATTAATTGTAGTGCTCGTCTTCGCAATTTTGTAAAAGAATTTGGTGAAGACATTTTTTCTTGTGACAATGCTGTACTTTTTTGCAAAGTATGTGGTGTTAAAGTATCTGCCGAAAAAAAATATAATATTCAACAACATATCGCTAGAGGTAAACTTATCCAGCAGCTAAATATTAGAAATCAACAAGAAAAACCAAAATCTCAGCTTCTAGTCACAGGTATGTCAATGAAGTCATCATTCAACGAAGAACTGTGTAATGTTTTTTTGTCCGCAAATATCCCTCTCACTAAATTAAATATACCAACATTTCGCGATTTTCTGCATAAACATACAAAACAAATTATTCCTGACGAGTCTACGCTTCGAAAAAACTATATAGATCAATGCTATACAAATACTATTATTAAAATTAGAGATTTCGTCAGGAACAAAAATGTATGGGTGTCAATAGATGAGACTACTGACGTTGAGGGGCGATATGTAGCCAATGTTATAATTGTTAACCATTGGAAGTAGACAATCCTGGAAAAATATTCCTACTTAACTCAGAGGTGTTAGAAAAAGCCAACCACTCTACTATATCTAAATTATTTGACAAATCTCTTTTTATATTATGGCCTGAAGGCATACTTCATGACAACGTTTTACTTTTTGTGTCGGATGCAGCACCATATATGGTAAAATCAGGAAAATCTTTACAAGTTCTTTACTCAAAAATGGTGCATATAAATTGTTTGGCACATGGCCTACACAGAGTGGCAGAACAGATCAGAATAAATTTTCCAGAAATTAATAGTTTAATATCAAATATTAAAAAAGTTTTTTTAAAAGCTCCATACCGTATAAATTTGTTTAAGAATTTGGCTCCGGGTATTCCTCTACCTCCAGAACCAATTATTACTCGTTGGGGCACTTGGTTAAATGCCGTAAACTATTATTGTGAACATTTTCTACATATCAAAAATGTTATACTTCAATTGGACTCAGATGATGGTCACTGGATATTAAAAACGCTAAAAAATTAGTCGAAAACCCAGAAATTGAAGAAAATTTAATCTACATAAAAAGTAATTTTGGATTTTTGGCTACTGAAATTACACGTTTAGAAACATCTGGGATGCTATTATCAGAATCCGTGTGTTGTATAGAAAAGGTTAAACAACAAATTAAACAAGCTTTGGGAAAAACGGGAGAAACGGTTACAAAAAAACTTGATGATGTACTAAACAAAAATTCGGGATTTAAAATTTTTATCATAATATCAAATATTCTAAAAGGCGAAAAAGTATCAAGAGAGGAACTTCCTGAAGACTTAACATGTGATGATTTAATCCATTACAAATTTGCTCCTATTACATCTGTTGACGTCGAACGTAGCTTTTCAAAATACAAGCATATATTGTCCGATCGTCGTAGAAAATTTTTATTTGAAAACTTGAAAAAGTTTTGATTGTCCAATGCAACTCCGATGATATAGGTAAAAAAAAATCATTTAATAACTATTATTTAATTTATTTTTTATAAATTATCTTAAATAGAATAAATTCAATTTACAGATTAATAATTGTGGAAGAATGAAAACTCGGAGAAGCAGGGTTGTTAATAAGTTTATTATAATACCTTTTTTTTAAATAATTTTAATACTTTTTTTGTGATAAATTTTTTTAAAAAACTTATTTTTAATGCTTTTTTTAAAGCTTTTTTGGAAGATTTAGACAGCTTTATTGCTTTTTTTAGTGCTTTATTTTAGTTTTTTATTGCTTTAAAATCCGTACTCTAATCATATGATATATTTTTTTAAGTTTATTGATAATTATCGTTAAAAAAATTAATATTTTTTTTATTTTTTTGGAGGATTTGGTCTCACATGGGTTCCGGCATAGAGATATTTTTCTGTACTATACATTTAACCAATGACGTAATGTGGAGGGTAGTAACTGGAACATTTTCCCAGTTTAGTATTAACTTCAACCTATAGTCAGCACACTTAAAAAATTTAAGAAGTTTTTAAGAGGTCAATTTTTTCAACAAATATTAACTATGGGTTAACTGACCTCCTGACTCACCTCCTAGATCCACCCTTGCACACATTAAACATTTCATTATTATATCTTCAACAATTACATAGCATTTTATTAGTATAAATAATAGCTTAAATCTTAAATGTTTGGGGCAGAATTATCTATATTCCTTGACAAGTATAAATTTTAAATTCTTTAAGTCATTATTATGTTTTTTTAGAAATTATTATATTTTCCTAGCTATTACGTCGAACAGAGGCGAAATTACTTATGATTGATGGCAAAATTTTCCGCGAACCACATCGTTAAAAGGACCTCACAGTAAAATTCTCTACTGTATAAAAACATTTCAGTTCAAGTAAATAAAATCATAGAATATTGAAATAATACAAAGTATACTGATTAATGATTACTAAACGTCTATTGATGTATTAATATTACTTTAATAAATGTGAACATTATAGGAGTATAATATTATGTCATTAATGTTATTTGCCTTACTTGTTACTTACATTACCGGTTACTGCAACAAATACCGAAAGAACATTTTTAAAACTTAAGCTTATTAAAAATTATCTTTGAACCGTATCCTAAACGCGACTTAATGATCTTGCGATAATTTCGATAGAAAGTAAGCATGCTAAAAATTTGAATTTATCGTTGTTGGTAAAAACGTTTGCTCAAAATCGTAGCAGAAAAAAATTATTATTATTATTAATTTACTATGAATATAATTTTTTTTTTATTGAATACAAATAAATAACCCAATTTTTAGAAATTTGAATAACAGAAATCATAGGACCTCCAAAAAATATTTAACCACAGGCCCAACTGTCGTAGTTGATATCAAAGCTATATGGATTCAATCATTTTCAATACAATAATAGATTATTATATAATATATACATATATATATATATATAATATTGGTTATAAACGTATGATAAGTACCTAACATTTTGACATAGCAACACCTAATACGTTGTGACAATTAATGGAAAACAAGTTACTCGTATTCATTTTCACGGGTCGTACTTGAAATTGTTAATAAATATAAATAAGTAGATCTTATGAGTCCATTATATTTTCCTTTTATTACACATATACTATTAATTAAAATATGATTAATAATCACTATAGTACTAATTACAGTGACTATTTCTAATTTATGTTTAACCATAGTGTTGTAGATATTCGCTGATAATCACTAGACAGAATGCAGATTATCTCATTTCTAGTTATATGTTTATGTATTTGTACTTAAATTAAACGTACTTCTTAATTACGAACTACCATGTATTTTAAAATATATATTTCCAACACATCTTACCAATTTACACATGATAATAATAGCTATAAATTATGGCCTATAATGAGTCATTATTAATGACACTCAGGGTTCATGATTCAAATACATTTTTTTTTAGCCAAAATATAATAATGTTTTCATTGCTTTAACTACTATTTATTTTAAAGTTTAAAATATTAATATAAAAAAAAATAAAAATTGAATGGACATATTTGAAAAATATACATTGTTATGAACTCGATCACAACAAATTAAAAAATGAATAGCACACGACAAAAGGTTAAAAGATTTATTAAAATAGAATGATACTTAAATGACGAACAACAATCTCACACATTAGCTGTGGAAATACGACCGACTAACCTCTACGTTTGCCATGAGACGTGTGTTGAGTTGCGTAACAATGTATGTCAGCATTTCTTACCACGCGAAGACAACATACAATCATGATGTTCTGTTTTCGAACAACGTTATTACAAATATTCAGGGGCTTATAACAACATGTACTTCATTTTGTTTTATTTAAAAAATATTATATTCAATCTATTCAAAAAAAAAAAAAAAAAAAACAACACCATTTAGAGTGTTCCGTGTACATTATTTCCTTACGATTACTTTTTAGCTATACGTATATATGTATGAATGTATGTATTGTACAAAATTGTTTATCGAAACTATCAGCTGTTTTGTAATGTTTAATAAAGTAGAAAAAATAAGTTTTTAGATTATTTTAATGTGAAAATAATTAATTAGACTATTACAACCCCTTATATAACCATAATAATAATAATAATAACTATAACCATAATACAAACTTCGAATGGTAAGGGAAAAATATTTTTAAAGATAAACATAAAAATTTAACACAAAAATTGAGAACCATAGCTCCACCTTCTGTATTTTGATAACACTATTTCCTACCTCGTCTAATTTATATTCCATAAGTACCCGAGTCCGTTCGCTACGTAGCTTATATTGTTATCCTTACAACTAAGATTCACTTAATAATGAGAGAAGAATATATAACTACTACATATCGAGAGTTTTGGAATTTTAAATCACGATTATGTTTTTAGCTCTGAAATTAATTAACATGTAGAAATCATTAAATTAGTAGTTTTTACGTACTGTGCTTTTCACAACTTATTATGGAAAAAACCAAAACTAAAGAAAATTGAAATACAAATAAAAACGCTAAAAAATAATAAATCCCCAGGGGAGAATGGAATACAAGTAGAATTACTGAAAAAATAAGGAAAAGAGATGGTTAAAAGGATATGGGATTTAATCGGAAACATATGGAGGAGAGAAAATTTACCCGAAGACTGGAAGACTGCGATAATTTGCCCAATATATAAAAAAGGAGATACTCAGGATTGTAACAACTATAGAGGTATCTCCTTATTGAATGTGACATATAAGATATTATCTAATTGTATCTTATCAAGAATAAAAGGAAGGACAGAAGAAATAATCGGAAATTATCAAGGTGGCTTTAGGATAGGAAGGTCTACTATTGACTAGATATTTATATTAAGACAGGTCTTTCAGAAAGCCTGGGAATATGATGAGCAGGGCTCATAACTTATAGCTCTAAAAAAAGGTTATTATAATCGTTTAAATATGCACTAAAAATACTAAAATATGCAAAAAAAAACGTTAGTATACAAAAATTATTATTATTTATTACATTATTTTATTATTTTAGTTTCTATTATTAAAAAAAAAAAATTAGATACTGAATCCACGAAACGAACTAATGTGCGGCCAGCGAAACTAGAAGCTTGACGGTTACGCGCCCTTATGCCGGCCATACACGTTACGGTCTACCGGAGAGGTATACCTGCGCAGGCATGCCTGTGCAGGTATACTGGACGTCGTTCGTGTCTCCGATGTACCGGAGAGGTCTTCAGTTTTTTTATAATGGCACCTAACCTAACGCACAGGTACATCGTACGGTGACGCTAGAAAAAATTGATTTTCGATCTTGCACCGGTCGCCTGTACAGGTCAAAAAAACTGCACAGGTCTATTCCCATACACGCTACGGTCTACCTACACAGGCATGCCTGCGTAGGTAGACCTCTCCGGTAGACCGTAACGTGTATGGCCGGCATTATGGCCGTTTTCGTGTAAACCAGGGGTTCTAAATATTTTGGTTGTGCAACTGCGGAATCTTTTTTTCGAAATGAATATAGTGAATATGTGAGGATGTAATCCGGCTCACAAAAAGTGGTTCTCATTCTATTGTAAATAATCAGTAAAATGAGTTGCTACGTAGTGTTATGATTATAGTTTACGATACGTATTGTAGCTGAAACACAATTTGGGGAAAAAATATACAATAGCCTATAACGCATATATAATAATCAACTATTGTGTGACCCTATGCATGCCGAATACCTGTAGATTTTAATACAAACCTCTAACCATTAAACCATCTGCTGTATGACCTTTAAGTTAGTCACTGGACCTCTTTGCTTCGTGTAACATGTATTTTGTGTGTGCTAGTTGTTATAATTTGAACTGAGTTTGTTACGAATTCCTTACTGTTTATTTGTATATTTTTGTTTTTTGCGGTTTTTCACCATTTTTGTTCCTATATTGTTTAATTGAAATGTCGATCCGGCCAGATATACATCCTCGAACCAAAAAAACTATATACAACGTGTACAATTATTTTAAAATGTTGGCCAGTAAAGAAGACCAACCGAAAATGGCAAATTTTTTCCGACTATGTCAAGAGCGTACGGCAGATGCTTGTGGAGTAAGTCGGTTTACTGTACAGAGAATTTGTAAGGAAAGCAAAACTATATCTCTTGGTGTTGAAGAAGAGTTAAGTGTCGGAAGTTCTACAGATATAAAATTTCGATCACCTAGAAAACGTTACAGTCGTAACAAACCTATCACTGATCTTGACGATTTCGACAGTGAAGTGGTCAGAGGGGTGATCCACAGCTTTTATGACAAGGAAGAATTTCCAAGAAGATTTCTATAAAGCAGGACTGAGGGACGAAATATTAGAGTCGATTATTTTAACAATTTATCCAGATGACAGCAGTTCAAGCGACGATGATGACGACGACGACGAGTAGAGTTTTATAATTATTATTAAAATTCAAAAACAATTGTAAATATTTTAAATGTTATTATTATTATATTATTATATTATTATTTTGATAACGTGATAATAAATTAATAAAAAATGTGTATTTCGAAAATATCAAATGTTATGTCTTTAGTAAAGGCCCGTTTCATATTCACACATAAGAATATACGATAAGCGCGAGTACCGTACGAGTAGCTGTGAAACAGCTTGCATTCTTCGTAGCCCTAATGAAAAACGGCCACTAGGGCGCGTGACCGTCAAGCTTCTAGTTTCGCTGGCCGCACTATAGCATACAGTATACAGTACGAAAAATCGGAAATGACTTCAAAATGTTATGAAAAATATTCTGTAAATAATCTGAGAATGATATCGGAATACCCAAATACCTAGAAACTATAAAAATAAAATACTACAGTACAAGCTACAATTATATACAATTATAATGGTTTCCTTATCGATGGGATTACGAAGTTTCGAGCGTACATTCTCGCTACGTCGCGCGTTGCCTTAACTCGTATAGGTATATATATCTGATATTATTATATAAGTTATATAAGAAAAATTAATTAACACGAATTAATTACTAATATGAACAATTAATATGACTATAATTACCTGTTATTTTTAAGAAAAACATTTTTAGGCTACTAAAAAAAATTTAAAAAAAAAAACAATGATAAAAATCATGCAAAAATCCAAAAATAAGCAAAAAAAAAAAAAAGCAAAAAAAGCAAAATAACACTTATACTCCGAAATATGCAACATAAAATTTCGTATGTAGCTTCTTGGTTGTCTGAAACAAATTTATAGCTCACATAGGTACCTCTAGAACCTCTCAAAAAAAATATACAAATGCTAGAAGTTATGAGCCCTGATGATAAGGAATTAAATGTCCTATTCATTGATTTCCAAAAAGCCTACGACTGAATACACAGAGAAAGCGTGATGAAAATACTGAAGGATTTCCAATTTCCTAATAAGTTAATAAATCTAATTATGATAAGTATAATGGAAACAAAAGTCAAAGTTAAGATTGGTGGCTTGATTTCGGACCCTGTACAGGTAAAATCTGGACTAAGAAAAGGGGATGCCCTATCACCTATCTTATTTAACCTGGTGTTAGAAAGAGTTATAAGGGAAATTAATGTAAAAAATCAAGGCTTTAAATTATAGAACTCTTCAATAGAGTTACTAGCGTATGCAGATAAAGTAGTCTTATTAGGAGAATCACAAGAGAGCTAAAAAAATATATTCATCAAATTAGAGAAAGCCGCAGCGAAAGTAGGATTAAAGTGTAATGCAGAAAAAACAGCATATATGTGACGCAGTGACGTCTAAGTCAGAATAAAAATGTCAGAATTCAATATAGAATGTCCTACGTGGATTGACGAACATGAAAATTTTTTCAGGACAGGGATTATCTTGCAGAAACAACTTATGATGTCTACCAACTTTCAATTTTCTTTCAGAAAAATTAACAAGAACTAACCAATGACCAGCAACTTGCATACAACACTATAATAGACAACGTGAAGTAGAACAGTGGTCAAATGTTCTTTCTCCATGCACCTGGCGGAACTGGAAAAACATTTTTGGTCAATCTTTTGCTTGTTAAATTTAGATCGCAAGGATAAATTGAATTAGCAGTAGCATCATCTGGGATCGCTAAAACAAAATGGAAAAAACCACTAACGCAACTTTTAAATTGCCTTTAGATTTACAATGCCAATAACGTCCATTTTGTAATATTTCAAAACAAAGTAGGTACTTATATAAATTAGCTATAGTTAAGCATTTATAGAAATAACGTTTATTGTGTGGGACTATGGCAAATAAAGAAGAGTCTGAAGCTCTTGATCGTGTACATAGAGATTTAAGAGCTCACGAACGTTCGATGGGAAGTGTTGTGATACTGTTCGCTGGTGATTTTTAGCAAATATTGACAATGTGCCAAGAGGTACAAAAAGTAATGAAATAAATGATTGCCTTAAATCGTTGTTTCTATGAGCATCTATTAAACTTCTAATATTCACCACAAATATGCGCATATGGGCGGTGGTAATAATGCAGCACAATTTTTAAGAACTCTTTTGGATATAGGAAATGGAGATATTTTTAATAATGATGGTGAAGAACTAATAGAATCAGCATTTGCAACTAACGTTACTAGATAAGACGAACGAATAGCTAATGTTTACTTGCATGTCGCTCAAAATTTCAGAGAAAACATATGACTGTTTATGCGACGAGCAATTTTAGCACCTAAAAACGATTATGTTATGAGTATAAATAACAGAATTCTTTCAATGTTTCAGGCTCATCAACAAACTTATCTATCTGTTGATAGTCTGACTGATCAAGATGATGCTATTGATATTCCAATCGAATTTTTACACAGGATATCCTCCATATAAACATGACTTGAAAATTGGAGCTTCAATAATACTTATGAGGAATTTAAATGCAGCAAAATTATGCAATGGTACTGAATTATGAATAGTAACTGTGTATCTCCGCGACTGGTATAATATAACATCGATTGAGTTATTTCGAACATCACTTAACAGGAATGACATTGCAAATATGATATCCAACATCCGAAACGGATAAGAACTCATAGAAGAAGAAGAACTGTGTATCGCTTAGTAACTGTTTAGAGAAACAAGATTGTAGCTAAAACTATTTCCGGCTCAGCCCAAGTTCAAGTTGATTTTATTTCTAGGATACGATGATTATTAAAGAATATCCTATTGAATTTAAACGGATTTAATTTCCAATAAAGCTTTGTTTTGCTATTTCATCAAGAAGGCACAGGGACAGACACTGAAGGTCGCAAGACTTGATATCACAAATCCCTGTTTTACCTCGTATTAGCTCGGCAAAAAACCTATATGTGTATGCGCCTCACCAAAGAACAAAAAATATTGTTTAAAGAGAAGTATTATAAACTAAATAGAAATATGTACAGATATATTATATAAATTAAAGGGGTATAATAAGAGATTAAAAAAAAGAGTGGAATTTTTTTTATTATAAAAAATTCGAATACTTTCCGAGCGAAGACGGTTAATTCAGCTAATAATATTATAAATAATAAATGTGTTCAGAGAAGGTTAAAAATTAACTTCTTATTACATAATATATTTATATTTTATATATATATTTATAAATTAATATATTAGAAATACTGAATTTTTATTGAACCCAATATGTGAACTTATTTATGTCGGTCAAAAATTCTCTTCATCAATCACAGATACAGCTGAAGCATGGTTGGATTTACCAAACAAAATTTCAAACCACTTTGAAGGATCTGATTCAATAATAGAAAAACGACAATATCATGCATTAAATGAATATTTACTAACAGCAAATTTTGTTCATCCAAATTATCAAGGGAAATAATGAAACCTGAACATAAAGATATTGTTGAAGATTTTATTTTAAATTCTGATGAAATTTGATCTGAAGGCTTAAACAGTTTTATTGGTTATAAAGAAAAAACTGGGCTATTTAAAATTTTATTTGAAAAACAAGGATTATCAGCAACTGCATTTTAGTCTTTTACTAAAAATAAGCATCCAGAGTTATAAAGATTGACAAATAAATTACTAAATTTACGAGTGCCAACTACCCAGTTAGAAAGTGTTTTCTAACTGGTCGTACATATACAATTCTTTTCGAAACCATCTTAATAAAGAACATTCAAAAAATTACTAAGTACTTAATAATTACACAATTAAATTAAATAAAAAAACTCAAAGTTCATCAAATGATTATTAAATATTAATTATTATTTTATGTTAATGTTAATAATTTAGTTTTAATATTCTACAAGGGTAATTTTTTTTTTATGTAATATTTAATAAAAATGTCTCAAAGGAAAAAGAAAAAGACTTTTACTTTACATAAATTCAAATATTCCACATTGTTAATTACTAATGTTATTGCTACTCAGGCCCGTATTTAGAGGGGGCATGGGTAGGCACATACCAGGGGGGTGTCAAGTCTTAGGGGCGGTAAAATACTTTAGAAAAATTAATTTTAAAAATTATGTACCTAATGAAAAAAAAATAGTATGTTTTTTTATGTTATAATTTGTAAATTGAAAAAAGTTGTTTTTTTATTATATTATAATTCGTTAATTAAAAAAAAAAGGAAATTGTATGTTTAATTATGTTATAATTTGTTTAATTTGTTAATTAAAAAAATTATTAAACAATTTTTATTTATAATTTATATTTTAATATTAAAGAATCTCGATTATGGATGAAATAATAAGTGTTACATTATTATTATTATTTACTTGAGAAGGGGACATAAATTATATGCCTGGAGACGCCAAATTTTTAAATACGGCCCTGTTGCTAGTGCATAGTTAAAGAAACCTGATAACTAGACCGCGGATAATATGCAATGAAAATACTCTATTATATGCATGCAAATATGCATCATAAAATACAGAAATATACATAGACTATGTTAAAATATGCACTTTAAATTAAATTTAAAAAAAAATACGGAAAAATTATGATGAAATTTATTATAATTAATAATTACTATATAAGATTTATGTATATTTATTTAGAACTATAGTTCTCGTAGCAATATATTACTAAATGTTGCTTCAAGTGGTCCATTGTAAAATTATGGCACTTGTCATCCAAAATAAGTTTAAATGCAAAAAATGACCGTTCAACATTACAGGACGTCACAGGACAGTATTTAAACTTAGAAGCCATGTTACTCGTTATTGTGTTGGGAAATACAGTAATTGTGCCATTAATGTAAGTGTTTATCATACTTAGGGAATCATAGCCAGGAATTTTGTTCAGTAACCGAGTAATCTTTGTTCTGATTTTTTCTGAAAATACGTCAAGCAGTCAGGCGCTATTATCAATAATTCCTCCATAACCTTTAATGAATTGTTTAGTAGCAAATTTCTTGATTCTAAACTTGTAATTAGTTCTGGTATTTTAGAAAAATGTGTATAAATCAGATTTAAATCATATTGTATCGACGGAGTTTCAAATGCTTTCTTAGCATCACGAATTGATAAAGCATCAACACTTTTAAATTGGTTAATTACCTCTTTTATTTCCATATAATGCTCACTGTAGAAGGAAGCACTTTTGATCCAAGTATCCCATCGCGTAATAACAGGTTTTGGTGGATGTGGTAAAGTTGGAAATTGTTCTCTGTACGTTTGTATTCTTGCTGGTGCTTTCATGAATACTTTTTTCACGGCAGAAATAAATTTGTTCACATCCAAAAACTCATTTCAAATTTCTTCAGCAAAGCGGTGAACAGTATGAGCTAAGCATGTTACATGGATTAAGTTTGGGTAGAAAATTTTGAGGGCTACTCCAGCTTTCGTCATGTATGGAGCTGCATCAGAAATAAAAATACAGACTCTTTCAGCGATAGAAGTATGGACAGAAAATGCGATGATACTATCGTTTATGAATTGAGCTATAGTTGAATGGTTGACTTTTTCAAATACTTTAGAAACAATGAGATATGCGGGAGAAGCTTCTAGGGATAATTTTCCAATAAATAAATTCGCAATTTAACGCCCACACGAATATGCAGTCTCATCTGTCAAAATCCAAATTAGGTTTTTTTCAATATCACTTCTAATTTTTTCCAAGACATTTCTATAGAAAAAAAATGTAAGCGTTTATATATAAACGCCTACAATGTAATTATTTCGTAAAGTGGATTCGTCTGGTATTTTTTGATTCGTGGAATATTTTTTCAGAAAACTACGGAATTTCAGATTAGTTTTTTCAAAGGAATGTTAATGCCTCGCATAAATCATTGCTGAAATCATCCTTGCATGTCATACTGTTAGTACGAGACTGTAATATAAGCGCCTGGCTACCAGAAGTATGGGTTGTCTTACTTTTCTTTTCGGAGGATGCTATATAACTTGTTGTATGTATATGCTGGATAATTTGAAACTTCTTTGAACACAGGATTTTTTCTCATATATCTGATAGTACACAACCATTCCGTCAATAGTAAACGTGCCTGGATATTCATTTATCCAAACATGAAAACGTGTATTATTAATAGGAGGCATCTTATTAAATAAATTAATGTACGTTTTGGTGGATCACGAAAATGAGACTGAAAAGTGTACGCAAAAAGAAATATGAATTGATTTTGTTCGAACATAAATCGTGCAAACGATTAAACGATATTTTATCGAAAACTCGACGTAGTATTTATATTTTTACGACGGCAGTAAAAACTTATCAGGTCAATTAGTTCGGTTATTATGTGTTAAATATCTATATAGTATTTGTTTTAAGATATTTAATCAGTGTGTTTCTTATATAAAAATACGATTATATGTCATTTACATCAAGAATCAATGAAATATGCATCTTTGGTAAAAAAGGCGATTATATGCAATTGCATATACAGATATGCAAATGCATATAATCCGCGGTCTACTGATAACATTTAAATATGAATATAATAATAAATTATTTATATTCTGTATCTGTAGGAATATTTTATTTTTTTATTAATATAAGACATATTTGAAAGAAAAAAAAGGAAAATTCAAAAAATGCAAATAAAAATTTTTTTTGTAATTTATTTATAGAATATGCATATATAATTTTTACTACCTACCAAATATATTTTTAAGAGTGAATTTCAAAAACAAACTGTATTATACGTTTTATACGTGTGATATTATACATGTAACGTATAAAATGTTTTATACACGTATATAACCAATCCTAGTTCATAGCGTGATAAAAAAATAAATTTATTTATTTAAAAAAAAATACAAAATTTGAAAAATATTTTTTTAAATATCCATATTATTGATTGATATAGACGTTATATCGATACCTTGGATATAACAATATATCATAATCAAATGTCAAAGAACGAAATATCAATATTTTGATATACCATAGTATTTTCCATCCCTATCAGTATCTATAGCGTTAAATGCACCAACTAAACAACGATTACTATCAAAAACAAATAACTATTCATATTTTTGATAACTGGCGCCTTAAATGTTGATCTTCTAAGATCTAAATCATATGGACATCAAAGAAAAGATATAAAAAACAAAAGAACAAGAATTTAAAATTGAACTTAATATAATTGCGATTTATACAAACATATTATTAATTTATGATTTTTACTGGTGACTTATAAAATCAAAACCTTCCTTTACGTCCTTAACTGTTAAAATTATATGACCATAATTTCTCACCAAATGCCTAAATTGTCGATTAAATCATGATATAATAATAATTATTATTATATCATGGGTTAAATAATATTCAGTCCCAACATTATTCTTACAACATATTTTAATGATTAGGTTAGGTTATTTTTTTTTTCGTTATTGATAATACAACTAATAGTGATTACGAGTGATACCATGCTTTTCATGTTCAAAAACGTCAATAGTTAGTTTAACACTAGGGATGGAGAAACCACGTTTGCCTCATGCAATGAGTGTTATAATTTCCTTGGCTCCACTGTAAGACAAAATCAGATGGTTAACTATTCAATCTACAGTATAGCGTTTCTGTTTACCAGGTTTACATTTACACTTTGTCAAAATTACGTTCACTGCTCGTGTTCGGCCATTGTCAGGTAAAATATTTATTGGTTGATATCACGTTGCGGTTGCTACAAATTATAAATGCTACCTTATGTTGTCAATTGTCATTATATTGTGTACGTTTATGCAAACCTGATCCCCCCTCCTTTTGTAAGCGCGCTCTTTCGATCGGTGTAGTGATTTAGTGATTCAATATTACTTATGTATTTATATTATTTAGATATCTTTGAAACATTACTGTTAAACTTCACCACACGGTTTTTACACTGTCGGCGAGCGCAGAAAATCGATAAATTACCATGTTGGATCATCACTAATTTGAAGTGTTGATTGCCGAGTGTTTCTCCCAGTAGTCGGATTTTTGGTTTTCCTTCGTGGCTGTCTGAAAACGATTGTGACAATGAGTAACTCACAAATGCATCTACACAGCGAAAATTTTGATCTCTGCAGAATCTGTTTATTAGAACCGGAGTCTAACCGACATGTCAAGTTTATACATATTTTCACACCAAGTGGAGTTGGTGTACCATTGAATCAACAAATTTTTGAATTCTTAGGGGTCAAGGTTTGTAAATTCAAAAACAACCTTTTTAATATTATTAATCATTGGCGTTATATAAATACTCTTAGGTTGACAAGGATGATATTAAACCAAAAATCATTTGTGAAAATTGTCATTCAGCATTGTCAAACTGGACTGAGATGAAGAATAAAGCTGCCGAATCTCAAATTGTTATCAATTACATTGCAAAAAAAAAAGTAACATTTTTCAATATTATTCTCATGCAATATTTATTTATTTCCATTTATATTATATTTGGATTTCTTGATGGATTTATATATTAATTTTCTTAAATGACAATAACGTTTCAGGTAATTTATTTCCTTGGCCACATTGCCCTTAATAATTATATAATATGTAAACAACATGTTATTTTGATTTGGTTACTTTTTATTTATACCAATTTAAGTGTTAAATTAATCATTTTTTCAATTAGTCTAGTCTCCAGTGCTTGTATCAGCAAGTCATTAGTTATTGTGAATTATGAACAAACACTGTTGGTAATCAACTAGTTAGTATTCACTGCTCAATAGATTAATTCATGTGTCTTATTTATCTAATAATGTAATTTAAATATTATTAGGCTCTAAATCCAATTGTAGGTCGGTGATCAGGTCTCATTGTTTTATGAACACATATCTTACCTGAATTATTTGGTTTCAGCGCCATTGTTTTACCAAGTATTTATACTAAAATAAAATTTTCTGAATTCTGATTTACAAATGGTATTCTATTTCATTTTTATGTTATTAATTTACATGTTTAACATACTGTTGTAACTTACCACCTTTATTTTCAGGGTAAATGGATATCTAACACTATTTTTATTCAATTTATCCAATTGCTGTTAAAAAAATATGTTTTAATTACTATAATAAGTACATTATATTGAGAATTTATTGCATTATTAGTTAAAAATATTTCATAATTCTAAATTATTTTTATACCTTATATTACCTTATCACTAATTATATTGTATATAATTTAAAAAAAAAAGCATTGTGTACTTTTTATTTGTATTCTTATTTAAATAAATATATTATTATTTCTAAATTCCTTAAGAAAAATATAAATAACTATTTATATCATGGAGTATAATTATTTCATAAAGTTATTATAGTTAAATATTATGTGAAATAATTTGAATTACATAAGTAATTAGTAGGGCGCAGATTTTAATTCCTTGAAAAATACCTTAAAATGCCATAGAAAAAAATGCAATTATGAACAAAAAAATTAATTAATGGCATTAAAAATGTAAAAAATGAGTACCAAAAATGCACTACATTTTTTTTTTTATTTTATTTGATCAACTCTTTCCATACACATAGTCCATACTATTGTTATCGTCATTGACTATTATACCATAATTTAATGACATAATGATAATATAAGATGATAAAGTGTAGTTGTCAATAAGTTGATTAAAGAAAAATATTGAATACTTGAATTTTTTTTAATTTTTTCCAAAAATGCTAAATTTTTAAGAAATATGAAAATTATGTTCAAAACAATGAAATAATAAAGTAGTGAAAATACTAAAAATGCATTAAAGAAGTAATCATGACAAAAAATGCAAATTGAAAATTAAATTATATGAATCTATATCACTTGAAACATATTTTTTCCAAATTAAACATTGTGTAAGGATTTAGAAAAAATAAATACATTTTGCATTGAAATCCATGCTCTAGTAATTAGGATATCATCTCTGCATAAGTATATATTATTAAAATATTTAAGAACAAATATCCAATTATTTTTTTATTTTTTACTTGGAAGGTTATTGATGTAAACTTGTTATTTAAAAAATGTTATACTACTAATACAATGACTAACCTTTATTATGTTTGATATAATTATTCTTATATGTCTGTTTTTAGTTTGGTGTTAATGCAACTGAAAACAGCCAGCAAACTTCTAATGAATCTGATACTTCATTGGATTCAAGAAATACTGCTGAATCAACAAATGCATCACATTCTCAAATAAAATCAAAAATATCTGTAGTGAAAAAAAATGTACCAACTAATTGTAGCACTAGTAGTAATCGAAGCAGTTATAATCAATCATTTACAACAAATCAATCAACAAGATCAGTATCTGTTTCTAGTGAATCTGATGATGATACATCTTCTTGCCAAGAAGTGACTGTTAATAATGAAGTAATTTATGTATCATCGGATGGTGAGGAAATGGTTCAAAACAATTCAGTAAATGATTCAGCTACATTTGAAGATCTAAACTACTGCTCCATCTGTAAAAGGAAGAATATTTTTGATCATGACTGTTCCCATTACAACAAAGAATTTTCAACTTGTTTGGTACCTAATTGTAATATATTGTCTAGATCTCTAAAAGATTTTACACCGCATTATAGACAACACATTGGTATGCCTTCTGGAGTAATGTTATGTCTTCGTTGTTTCCAAGAAAACAAAATATCTGAACGTGATGTTAACGGTTTTCACACTCGCTGTTGCACATTAAATATATTTAAATGTTTTACATGTAATATAATATTTAATACTATGGCAGAATTTGCCAGTCATAAGCTAAAAACACATAATGGTCGGCTTATAAACTCTTCAGGAAATTATTTATGTTTTTATTGTGAAAAATCATCTCCAGATCTGATGAAAATGAATGAACATATTAAGCATTGTCGTGAAAACCAAATGAAAAATGTTAAAGACAATGTAACTGATAACTGTATGAAACACGAAGAACCTCAGGAAAGTGAAACAATGTTACTTAATGATAAAAAAAATGAATATAAAAGAGGGAAAGATAAAAAAATTCCGCGTTCTGCACAACATCTACTTTTTACATGTTTAAAACCTTCTTGTAATCTTATTTTTCAAAATTTTGCTGTTTTTAAATTTCACCACAGAGAGCATTTTGAAATTGGAAATAAATTGATGTGTTGGCAATGTTGTTCACCATTTTCCAATTTAAATGGTCTAAGAATGCATCAAGTAAAGGGTAACTGCCGAACTCCTGGTATGTTTAAATGTTTTGAGTGCACTGAGGTATTCAATGACCTTCAAAGTTTAAGCATTCACAAATATACTATACATGATGGTGATTTAATAGCAAATAAAAAGAATAAAAAGACTATAATTTGTGCATTTTGTAAAAATGAAATTTCTATTCATAATTTTAAAAATCATTTGGTTAAATGTCAATATAAAATTGAAAAAAAAGTATTACCTAAACCTCATTTGATTAAAAAAACAAAATATTCTAATTCTAAATGTGTATATTGTGGTAAAGTTTGTCTTACAGCTGCAGCTTTATCAAGTCATATAAAAATTCACAGTCCTAAATCATTACAAAAAAAAGACGCAAGAAAAAGATTGAGTAATACATCAATGAAAAGCAAAGTACCTTATGAATTAGTAAACACAAGTAAAATGGAAGGTGAAGATAGCAATCAAATATTATCTAGTACTTCTCAAAGTAATGATACACTCACATCTGACTATGAAATGGCTAATACAAGTGATGGTGGGAAAGATATGTATGAAGTTATTAATCAAACTAGCTCTGGTTCTTCACAAAGTAATGAAATGGCAAATGACTATGAAATGTTTCCATTTGTAGATAATTATTATCTTTGTATTAAGTGCCCTAAGAAGTTTAGTTCTAAGAACGGATTAATAAAGCATTGGAATATTTGTTCTTCAGTAAGTACAATGAAAAGCTCTATGAAAAATGTACCTCATAATTATTATTGTACTAAATGTAAGGAATATTACACTCGACTAAGTTTTGTTGAACATTGGAAAATACATCATGGAAGGAGACTTCCATACCATAAATTTAAACGATTTTCTTGTACAAAATGTCCCTTTAAGTTTATGTATAAAATAGCATTATTAATGCATGATGAGCATGTGCATGGTGGACCAGAAAATTCTGAAAATATTACAGTTGAAACTACTCATTCTGATAATGATGTAATGTTACCAGTAATATCCAATACAACATCGTTGGCCAATTGTAATGCTGAAGATATTGAAAGATTAATAGAAAGTGATAAAGGATTTTTCAATGGTAAAATTGAATATGAAGGAACTACCAATACAATATTAGATATTCCTGAAGAACTGAATAATGAAAATGATCATGATATAAATGAACAAAATAATGATAGCAATGACTTGAGAAATAATGAAGAACAGGATATAAGTAATAATAATGATGATAACAATAGTGATTATGTTGATGTACATAATATTCAAAACGTAGATACAGTTATAGATGAATTAAATTATAATAAAAATAAAATAAGCCCAGAACAGCTTCCTTCTGAAGATTTATTGATGGTTAATAATTCTAATGAAATGGATTGCAAAAGTGAAGTTATAACATTTGAAGTAAATGATAAAAATGAGGTGGCTACAGTAGATAATAATGAAAAAGATATTACTTCTCTTACAGAAGAAGATATTCAAATTTGTATTGATAACATGCTATCAACAAATAACTCCCAGCATTTGAATGAAAATGAAATTATCAATATAGTACAAAAACTACCTATTTCAAGTGATGAAAACAAAGAAACAAATGAATCTGAAGGATGTTCAGTAATTAGTGAGAATTCTTCTGAACAATGTTCAGTTATTGGCATAAACTCAACTGAAAAATGTACAGATATTGATAAAAATTCTTCTGAAGAATGTCCAGTAATTGACAACAATTCTTCTGAAGAATGTTCAGTTATTGGCATTAATTCATCTGAAGTAACTGACACAAATTAAATAACAAATGGCTGATTATGAAAAAATTTAAAACCTGTATTATTCTTTTGAAATAAGCTAAGATATTTTATTAAAACTTCAATAATTCAGATGTAATTGTTTTCAATAATTTCATAAATTATGTGTTTCCAATTCCCAACTATTTTGAATAATAATATTTTTAAATTGATTAGTATTTGTAAATATTTTTTCATCCTATATTTAACAATTATTATTAGAAATTAAGATTTATTATAAATTATTATAAAAAGTCCTCAAGTTGACTAAATATTTGATTTTTATATTTATTTATAAAAAAAATTAATATTTATAATATTAATTAATGTTCTATATTTATTCCCATGTATTAGACACTGCATATTTTAATTTAAATGTTTAATGTAAAAAATAATGTATTGTTATTAATTACACTGCATTACCAATAAAAATGTAACTTATTTTACGTACATTTATATTCATATATAGTAAATTAAGCCTAAAATAATGTTATGAACACTAATTCTTTAAATTTATCCAAATGATGTATTCCTAAAATATTATTCTTGAATGAATTTTTAAATGTATATTTGTATATTGTTTTACTATTCAATGCTAAAATAAACTCTTAATTATTTGAATAAAATGAAAAATGTTTTTTTCTAAAAATTCTTTTACATTTTGATGTCAATTTAATTTTAATTTAATATCTAACACAATAAAAATAAATGATAATAATTTTTACTATATTTAATATATATTATTATTTATAAGTTATTATAAATAATAATAACCATACATTGGATAATTAAGAATTAAAACTAGTGTATCATATATATAATTGCCCTCAAAAAAAAAACCAATTTTGAGCAAAAGAAGGTGGATCAGCTTATAATTTTAAATATGGTTGATACAGTTTTAAAACAGAATTTATTAATTTAATTTAAATTTAAATAATAAACCTTTAATGTTTGAAATTTCACAAAAAAAAAAAAGCATTTACAATTTGGGAACATAAAAAATGTCTAGTACCCATATGCAACAAAAAATTTATTGAAATATTTCGAACTTAAAGAACTTCTTTAAAATCCAGTTAATGTTTTTAGTCACTATGATAAATATTTATAGCACATCAACTAAATAACTAACAACATTTAATAGAAATTCATTAAAGTTAAACATTTTATTTTATAACGTTTATAAAAGATTTTTGATATTACACTTTCTTGTAACTTTTTTTTTACTGCAAAGAAATGTTTTATGAATTTTAAATTACAAAATTGTATTGGATTTTCGTTATTCTTATTGTATAATCAAAATTCTCGACAAATTTTCTGTCTATTTAACCTCAAATTTGTTTTCATTATTCAGTAATATACAAGGGCATATTTAGAAATGTCTTGGGAGGGGTGGCAAAAACAAAAAAGTTCAAACTAAAGTAAATGGGGTATAGAGTTATAAAATATCTCATATTTTTCATCTCAATAAATTATCATCATTCATAACCAAGTAATCAAAATACATGTGTGTGATAAAAACATAACATTTTATTGGTAAAATGTATAATAAAACATATTATTAAAAGCAATTTGTGTAGTTATAATAAGTGAAGGTGCCTAGGGTATTTATTAGCATATTATCAACTACTTTTTCAGGTTGTATAATTATTTCTGGATGTATATTAAGCAATACTAATCCATTCAATCGATTTTCTACCATAGTTGATCTTAAGTACCTAGGTGTTGATTCTATTAAGGGAAGAAAATGACCTTTCTGATGTGCATGTTGTTGCTATAATAGCATTAAAAATCTTTTAATGTTTGGAAAAAATTTATGAATGGTAAAAATATTCTTTCCAATGCATCGGATGGAAGCTCATATACTGGTTTTTCTCTCCATAGACATTCCAGGTTTTCAATTCTTCTTCTAATTCATTGAAAGTACCTGGTAAATCAGTTGAAAACAATAATGCTGTATCTGACATTTTTGAAACTTCAGTATTGTTACAATACTTAGGTATGAAGCCTTTTAAGTTTAAAAAAATAGTATTTTTTGTTTCAAATCAGTATTTAATTTCAGTTAACAATGAATCTAGGTATGGATAATAAACAGAAACTCTGTAATAACTCTCAGGCAGGTTAAGTATGGATTATTACCACTTCATGCATGGATAAAATGTTTGGAGTTGATATTAGGAAGGGGGTGTTTTTTTTTTCTTACCTGGAACGCAAAATTCCTAAATATGTATCTGGGTAAGATAAAGAAAAATTGTTAATAAAAATTAATAATAATGATATTGAAGTAATATGGTCAGGAATAAAGAGCGTAATTATAAAAACTGGGGAGAAATCGGTAAATAGTTGATGCTACTTCAACTGAGTGTTACCTAATTGTATTATATTATTCGTATACACTACACACTATACTAGGGTGACCATATATCCTATTTTTCACTATTTTTTTCATTAAAAAGTGATTTTAGCGATTAATTGATAGCGATCAAAGATGAAAGATGAAGTTAATGCATTTTGCCTTTTTTTTTTTTTTGAACTTTTTAAACTTTTTATACAACTCATACCAACCGATAAAAATGTCAACGTTCAAAATAATAATTTAATATGAGTTTCAGTAAAAGCCTGTAGTAAATAAATAAATTTATTTATTTTATTTTCTCTGTCACCTATTGTTTTATCGTTAATTAATTTAACAAAAATGGCATTTAATGGTGTTAATGCATTACTCGACCACGATTATTTACCAAGTGTTATTTATTTATATATTATATTACCTTCACAATTTTACAATTATCAATGATATTCTTATATGCTGAATATTTAAAATTTATTTTTATTTTCACAATTTTACAACTAAGATGCTTAACACTTCAAATGTAAATAATAAAATATGTTCATACTGTAGAGCAGCGGTCGCCAACAAGTGGTCCGCGAGAAAATTTGAACGTTAGGTACTTATAGAATCTTTTCGTCGTTATTTCCCAAAAAAATAAGACCCTAGACATGGGATTATGTGGATAATAGATCCATTGCAGCAAACAATGAAAATAACAAGTTAAATATGACCGAAAAAAAATACCTCATCGATTTATTTAACGGTATTTATGTAAAAAGCTATTTTAAGCTAAAAGTGATCCATAGAATTTAGAGTAGGTATGTATATAGTGGTCCGTGAGGTTCAAAAGGTTGGCGACCGCTGCTGTAGAGTATAAACAGAAATTAAAACAATATTGGTAAAATAAAATAAAATTATAATTGACATAGGTACTATGCAGACTTGGGTAAAATACATTTTAAAAGTATTTAGAATAAATACTCGAATATTTACAAAAAATAGTATTCCGAATACGTATTCAAATACATTATACAAATTGTATTTCAAATACATTATTTAGAATACTTCAAAATTATTTCGAATACTTTTAAAATACTTCTAGTTTTTATACTATAAAAATAATAAATGTCCATTCAACAGAAACATTTGAAATTGTAGACTAAATATATGTTATTGTATTGTATTTTTATATTACATAACTGTTTTAGTTTATGGTTTACAACAATAATAAATACCTGATATTAGCTTATACAAGATACGACGGAAAAGTAATAAAATCATTTAAAAAGAGATGATTTGACGGTATTCGAAATACAGTATTGAAAATACTTTATTGAATACTTTCAAAAAAAGTATTTAAAAAGTATTCTGAATACAGTATTTCGAATATTGTATTCGGAATACTACCCAAGTCTGGTACTATGCGCCGTGGAAGAATGCAAAACAAATCCTAGGGCGCCGTCGGTTCAAAATGAAAAATAAAAAAAAATTTTAGTAAATTTTAGTAAAATGACGTTAATATATTTTTTTTTAATCTAGTATTGTAACCATGATTACATATTGAAATACATAAATTTAAAACTATATTTTTTTCTGTTAATAATTTAAGATTTTGCGTACACATTTTGTAAATCTATGTAGTTTTAAAATTAATAGAATAAGTACATTTTCCAAATCTATGTTTATTTAAAAATCTGTTATTATACCAAATTATAATTACATCAAAAGTTTTATTTGCTTAAAGATAGGCTATAGGATATAATTATAAACTATCAATGATTTTTTTATACAAAATAATTGCATTGATATTGTTGTAAGCGAGTAGTATTTAGTATATATATTATTATTATTATTATTACTATTATTATGAATGTATAAATAACATGTACGCATAGGCATTAGTCCTTTATGTGGGGAGTAATGCAAGTAAGCATTTTTGGATTAACCGGACGCCTCTCGCCGTCCGTATAACCAGTCGTATTGTAACCAAGTACATGAACGGTCAATAAACGAACTCATAATAGTAATTTGTTCACGAGTCTTAACCATTTTTTTAATCCTTTACTTTATTCGAAGTGTGAACTTACAAACGTTACATAGTGTCGACGGACTCAATCGAATTTAACCGATCCGGCCTATAACAATATGATAAAAAGTATTTGATCAAGCACAGGTTCAACTTAAATGATTTATCGATTTACATTTACTATATAACTTTCTCATAAAATCTATTTGTTTTTTATTGGTTCGGATAATTAAGATTACATAAATTTAAATGTCATCATAGATGAGGAGGAAAATGAAGACGAAATCAATGGTATTTTATACTTATTATGATTTTGTTCTATAGGCAAAACTATCTATAATAAGTATATGATTATATTGGTAATTTCATTGTGGTAATGGTCTAGGGATTTTAATTGTAGTTGATAAACATGGTCTAAAAGATTTTTTTTTCTCTTTTTAGGTTCTTATAAGTAGTAAAATAATTACAAAACATGCTCGTTGTATTTCAACCACGATTATAGTTAGGATCTATAATTTCTTTGGACTAGTGGTATACTGCGTGTATGTGGTTATTACCACCTATTACCACACCACTACATACAGGCTGGCGACCATTTACTGATTGTTAGTTTCTAAATGTCTAATAACTGCTGGCCCACAACACTGAAAACATTGGTAACTCAAGGGATCGTCTCGTGCCCAACTGATGGACGCGACGCTTTTGTTTTCATAATCGTTTAGTAGCATACGTTATTTGTCCGGTCGTGAGTTTCCTCGTCGTTGTGTCAGTTCGGTCCGCGAGTGACAGTTTTGTTGTGTTTTCATTTTTTCTCATTAATTTCGTGAAGATGTTAGGACGCTTAAGGGAAATCGACGTTTTCAGTGCCTGTCGCCTTTGTTTAAAAGATTTTGATACAACAAGCATCAACATTTACTCTGACTCTTTAGATAACAGCGGGACCTTAGTCAGTGACATCGAACGTTTTTTTCAAGTAAAAGTCGTATTAAAGTATTATTCGTTTCTCCTCGCGCAAGCTATTTTCATGATGTAGCCACTTATAACATTTATTCTTTATTATTATTCCCGTTGTAGCGAAACGTTATTCTCAAAATTATTGAAGCTGTGATATATTTGAGTTATAATATGTCAATATTTTTTATTTACTATTTGAGGCCTGCTTGTTGGATTATGTTTGAGTTCTTCAATACTAGTGCATCTGGTCCTTAACAATTACATTTTAGAGGGACATGTATTATAACTTTATATACTAATTTCTCCTAATGATAAGTGAAATATAATAAAGTTTATATATTTATAGATGGTCAAGAAAGTATAAATTACTTGGTTGGTTTCTTTTTGAGTCTTGAGTGTATGTTCTATGTTCTATTGAATGTTTTTAAAAACTGTGAAGCAATTTTTAAAAGAGCCATTAGTTTAAATTGTTATATCATTGAATAATATGGGTATATTACAAAAGTAAACGTGGAATATTGAAAGCTTCATATTGGCAAATATACATTTATAGTTAATTATTTTTTATTAATAGCTTATTTCCCGAGGTTTACGTTTTTGACTATGCATGTTTATATATATTAAGTTAGTGTAATAAGGTAAAAATATTCTATAAACACAGCACTATACTGTAATAAGCCCACACTTACAATTTGTTGTTTTAATAATATCAGTGGTTTCTACCAAGGGCACAGATTTAAATATACTATAAATATCAAAAATTCAATTCAATTTTTTTGATGTTACTGTATGATTAGTAAACCAATGGATGAAAGTTGTTTGTAATTGGCCAATTGGCAATTGTGAATTAAAGATAAATCTAATTTAGAAACCAGATTACCTCTAGTATTATTTTTTTACATATTAAAAAAATTGTTTGTTAATACAATACTTCTTGATAGAACCTTTATGTTACCAGAATTAAGTTAAAATTAGTGTAAAAATGATTATCTTCCCATAAATCTTGAAAAAGTTTATTTGAGAATAATCTATACTTTAAGTACATTTATACTTCAGGAAGCATGTCTAGTAATACATAAAAAACAAACTCAAAAGCACCAAAATCCAATCATTAGTTTTTCATTAAACATATATTTGCATGTATTATGATTATAGTCACTAATATTACTAGAATTTATTATTGAAGTTAAATTGTTAAGATAATACTTAATCACTGTCAAATCAATAGGAATGACCTAAAATATATATAGATGACAAGTTTGTGGTAGACTGCGTATAACATATTGAAACATGCATGGTAGACCACATATGACAAAAACTATTATTTGCATGGTCTACCATGCAAACAAAATATATAAACAATATATCTTGATTATTATTATGGAGTATATCATTGTTACTCCTATTGGGATTAGAAAATGTGACTGTAAAATGTACGATAAATTAAATATTTTTAATTTAAATGTAATATATTTAAAACAATGGTAAATGTTAGTTAAAAAAAAAAAAAAATACTTTGTTAAACCTAATTTTAATGTAAGTAACTTAAGTTTATTAAAATAAAGATTTATTTTTAGATATCAATGAATGATGGAAAATCAACATTCTTATGTCGAAAATGCTATGATTTTGTCGTTGATTTACAAGATTTTGCTGAAACGGCAAAAAAGTGTACAGAAGTCTCAGATTTTCTTTATAAGAGTGTAAGTTATTATATTTATAATTCAATTTAATGAAAATATTTTAAATTTAAATTAAAAACATTTTAAAAGGATATTTGCTATAGCTCATATCTCGTCAATCAAGATTTTTCAATTATCTACATACCACTATACTAGTTTTCATTAGAGGAATGTGTGGGTCATTAAACAAATTCTATAATATTTATTTTAAATAATTTTAAAATTGCTGACTATCATTTATAAAGGATTTCACTTAGTTCAGAAGTAATTTGTCATATGTGAAACTGCATCTTTTTCGCATGAGAACTAGTATATCCTATTTACATCAGTATTAGGACAGTATGTAATGAGGACGTAATGAGCATAGTGATAATGGAAAATATCTCATTTCATTATTACCTATAATTACCATTATTACCCATTATTACCATAATTACCTAATAATTAGCTAATTATAAACTAAAAAACTTTAAACTTCTTATGTCCAGCAACTTTTTTATGCATAATAAAGCAAATAATTAAAACCAAAATTAGTAAATGGTTAATAGACATTTGAGTATTTTATTCTTCGAAATATTAAACACTCAAAATAACATTTACATTGTTCAATTCTAGAATAATTACACATACACAGAAATAAAAAAAAATAATTTTATAATATTTTAAGTGTGCTAACTGATTTTAAAAATAGTATCTTATTTAATACATTTTAGATAATACTAATTAATAACCAAAGTATTTATATTTCTTAACATATAGGCAATTAATGTCTAATAGTAATACTTTTTAAATAATCTCCCTTATTAAAATACATTTTATCTATTTAAAACAACCAATTTTTCCTAATGTATACCTTCCTTTTTTTTATATTCAGTGGAGGTTTTATTGATTTTATATATAACTGTTGATACATTTTTAATTTGAAATTAATTTTTTTTATTGGGTCCTTTAAGACCAGCCCTCCAAGTATATACTTTTTGTATGATTTTTGCTTCTCTGACGACCTCCTGTATTAAGTTAAAGAGAATGGATGAGAATGCATCCCCTTATCTCAATCCTGTTGTTATTCTGACCGGTTCTGAAGTTTTTTTTGCTGTATTCACTTTAATCTCTGTATATTTTAGAGTAGCTTAATTTACGTTTACTAATTTATTGGGAAACTAAATTCTTTCATTATATTTATAAGACTAGGTCTATGGATCGAGTTATAGGCCTTCTTAAAGTCTACAAATAATACGCATAGATTTTTATCGAACTCCCATGCTTTTTGAAAAATTTGTCTAAGTTGAAAATCTGATCCGTGGTTGACCTATTCTGTCTTAAACCACATTGGTAATCTCCCAGTAGCTCTTTTGTGCGAGGTTTGATCCTATCTAGAATGCAGTACGCTAAAATCTTGTAGCTAACATTTAGCAATGCAATACTTTTATAGCTATTGCAGTGAAGTAGATCTCCTTTTTTATGTAATAGGCACATTAATACTAAATTCTAATCTTGTGTTATTATCTTGTCTTCCCAAATGTGCTCCATTAGCTTATGTATATTCATGATTGTTTTATTATTTAGTGCTTTTAAAATCTCACCCTAAATTCCATTTAATCAAATAAAGTGCTGTTATCTCGATGGTTTTGATTCAAATCTTTTAATATGTCTTGTGTATATCTCCATTTTTCATTTATAAAGATTTTATTCGCGTCCTTTTAAGATTTTTTGTATCCTTTTTCTTTCTCTTCATTTGAAGATTCATTTAACCGTGTATTTCTAGCGTTTTTCCTTTTGTTTAGAGCTATTTCACATACTTTATTAAACCATGGGTTACTGGGATTTCTCTTTTTAGTACCTATTACTAACTAACTTGATCATGATTTGTATAGCTTTCCAACTATTGTCTACTGTGTTCATTATACTAAGATTTATCTTGCCAATTTGACTGCGCAACTCATCCTTAAAAGCGTTTAAGTATTTGATCTCCCAGTTTGGAAATATCATAGTTGACTAGAGTTGTTTCCTCTTTTCTTTCTTTTTTAATTTTAGTTTTATTTTGAATTTTACTAGGTATTGATTAGAGTCGCAGTCCGCTCCTCTAACCATTCTTATATCTTATATGCTATTGCTAAATCTCAAATTTATTAATACATGATTAATTTGATTCATATATCTCCCATTAGGTGACCTACAAGTTCCCTCATGGATATTTTTATGGGGAAACATAGTACTTTTTATTATAAGACCTTTCCCTGTTACTAGGTCAATAAGTCTAAGCCCATTATCATTTGTTGTAGACTATGCGAACCGATTGTTGGTTTCAATGTTCTCTCCTTTCCTATCTTGGCATTTAGGTTTCTCGGTAGTATATGTATATTATTGTTAGGTAGTGTATTTATAGTACTCTCTAAATCTTCATAAAAGATTCCTTTTTCTCTTATGGTTTATCCTCAGTGGATGCAATGGATGCTTATAAGACTAACATCAAACCATTGGGCTCTAATTATCATTACAGAATAATTCAAGTTGATATCTCTAAATTATTTTATAGTTGGTACCAGGCTCTTATGGACCGCAAAGCCTGTTCCAAACTGTCATTGATTGTTACATTTCCCATACAATATTGTGATATTGCTAGTGTTTATTGACCCTGTATCACTCTATCTAATCTTCCGCAATGCTAACAATTTAATTTTGTGTCTTTCTATTTCTCGCACCATGAAATTCATTGATCTAGTTTTAAAAAGTGTTCGTACACTCCATGTTGCGATATGTATGGTCATTTCCCAGTTTCCAATCTTGTTATTCCAAGCTCCACTATTCGAGGTATATTATTATTTGGTTCCTGAACAAATGGTTTTATATAGGGTATGGTCGTTAGCCCAATGCTCAACCTCCGAATTGGAGAACCAGATCATTGCAATCAATTAGGACTAGAGTGGTGGTTACTGCAGCACCCGGTGTAGGGCACTGGGCGATGGGGACGCTATTTTCCTTACGCCTCAAAATAAATAAAATAAAATAAACCAAATAAATAAAAAATAAATAGAATACTTATGGTATTTTTATCTTATCATTGAATTTATTTATTTGTATTTATATAGGTAAAACTTTTTCTCTAAATCATTAATTATAACTCGCACTGTGTTTCAAAATGTTTTTGAATTCAAAATTTATTAATTTGTATTTTATATTTGTATGTAAATATTTGTTTGAAAGGTAGGTAATGAATGTTTTATTTTTTTTTTATGCATATAGATATCAATGACTGGATTCAAGAAACAGATCCTTCACCTACCACAAGATAGTATTCTTAATAATCCTAATAGAACAAGTATCATTTCCTCAGATGGTTCTTCTGAATTAGAAAACTTATCACCTTCATCAAATAAATTTAAGAGTACTTGTCCGTTTTGTAAATCTAACAATCTCAAAAATAATGTTTCATCAAAATTTAATTCGAAAATAAGATTATGTAAAAAACATAGCAGACCATACACATGCCTTGTACCTAACTGCAACATTGTTTTTCCTACTTTGGATGTATTCTTACAACATTACCGTTTCCATTTGGACCTTCCAATTAATAATTCTGTATGTTATACATGTTTTGAAGTTTTAAATAGTTCAAAAATACTTATAAATACAGAACATAAACATCAAGATTTATCAGAACTCATGGCTTGTTGTTCTAAAAAATTTACATCGATGACTGATTTTGCATTACATAAAATTATTAAACATTCTGCAACAATTAGCATGATGCACTTGGAAATCAGTACTGATTTTAAAAACAATAATCCTAGATTTGAAAATCTTAATAAATGCTTAAAAGATGAACTTGATAAATGTGTTGCCAAAATTGATACAACTGAAGCTAGTTCAATTATGCATACAAATTATATTTATATGGATGCAAAAGATAGTTATAATTGTAAAGTTTGTAATTATGAATGTTTTTCAGTTATGGAATACGTTGAACACTCAGCAAAAAAGCATAATAAAGTACTAGCTCAAAAAGAAAATGGAATAAAATTATGCCCTATATGTGATCTAAATTATGCCATTGAATATTTTGATGAACATATTGATAAATGTACAAATACTATGATAATTAATAAAAAATTGCCATTAAAACATTTTGGATGTGTAATTTGCAAAGCAATTTTTGATGATGTTACTCCAAAACAATTTAGATGCCATTTCTTATTTTGTAAATCGTTTAAAAAAAAGTTTTATAAAGGCAAAGAAATAGATATTTGTGTTAATTGCAATTTTAAAAGTGATGATCAAAGTGCTTCTCTTTTACATGCAAATTCTAGTTGTATATATTTTCAGCTGAAAATGAAATATGCTATGGGACCTAATGAAAAAGTAATAGTTGAAAAAAAATTGAAATCTTGTGAGAATGATAATGAAGATAACTGTGAATTTAATTTTGATTCTATACATATTCATCGGTTAAACTTATTCTGTCCAAAATTAATTCCTATTATTAAAGCACAAGGTAACCATTTATATTGTGATCCGATTATAAGAAAAGATATTGAGGATTACAATTTTTTGTGTAATAACTGTGGTAGTACATTTTACTCATTAACTATATTTGAACAGCATTTAATCGATACAGGTGAAGTATGTAGATCAATTTCATTATTATATTGCAAAAAATGTTTGACTGATTTCAATGATTATAATGAATTTTTACAACATTTAAAACAGCGAAATGGAGCATTAAATAGTTTGGGAATAAAAAAAGAACCAGAACCTAAATCAGAATCTGATGAGATTATAGATTATGGAGATGGTATTATTATGGATATACCTGTAGAATTTGATGGTGAAGAATCTGAATGTGATGATGAAAAGTTGAGTGTTTTATTACAACGTCAAGAAGATATAATCCCAGTGAATGAAAGTGTATCTAGTTGTAGACTGATGTCATTTCAAGAACCAGGTCCATCGACATTGCCACATTTTAATTCAGTTGACACTGAATTATTTTCAGAATCTGACTACTCAAATGATCATGAACCAGAATGTGTAAATGAAGATAAAGTGAATGTGACCTTTTATAAATGGGATTAAAAGTTCTTTCTATATTGGTAAATATAAGTAAAATTTTACCAACATTTGTTTTCTTCAATACTTATTTATTAAATATTTATTAAATTATCTGGCTTATTTGTAATTAACTATTGAATAAATTAATTGAGAAATTTTGTGAAATTTACTACCCAAGTATTGTCATCTATAAAGAAAAAAGGAAATAATTTTTAGTTAATAACTATCTTGGTGTAAAATAATCTTATGATTATTCTTTGATTCTAATTTTATATTTATACTATGTTCAATATTTTCAAATTCATTTTGGCTTTTGAAACATCATGGGATAAACTGATACTCCATAATCTAAATAAACTTTTGTTTTAACTAAATATTAACATATATTTTTTTTTATTTTTACTTATTTTTTTTATTGATCTTTTTTTTAATTTTTTATAATATTTATTTTCATTTATATAATGAATATAGAAATTTCAAGAGTACATTTTACTAGATCTGTATTTTCCTTTGACCATTGCCAAGGGTTTCATGTTGAAATTGTGAAAAATAAATGTCGAGCTGCCCACTCATTTGAGTTTTTAAAAATATATCTGCAATAGTATAGTTATGGAAAAAAATAGAGGTTTCTCAAAATAATTAAGTGTCTACATAGGTTCCATGAGTAAAAGAAGTGGGGTAACACAGTACTAAGTTTCTGTTAAGTTAACAGGTTTCATTGATGTTAACAATTTCTGTTTCTTTAATTTCACAATGACTTCTTATAAATTATTTAGTATTTCAATTACAATTTACCTTATTAGATGAATCTTTGACTTAATGATAAGTATATCCATTCATGTAATTCAATATTTTATCAGTATTTATTTTGCTTTTGTCATAAAAGATATTGCAACAAAGCAGTTGTATTATAGTTTCAAATTTATATAAATATGGTTAGAAACAATATACATAATATCTTGATCAGGAAGCCTCTAAAGTTGATATAATTTATAATATAGTAAATAATAGGATTAGAACAAGTGTTATGTAGATTTGATTTGGGAGTGATATAGCCTAGTAAAGATTGATAAATTGATTACTATGAGTTTTCTTAATTGTAAGTAATCTGCTCAAATTAATTAAAATTATAACTAACCAAGGTTTTCTATATTTTAACTTATTGTTACATATATGAGATTTGTCTTATTTAATTGAGTATTTTTATTTCATTTCATTTTTTTTTTTTTTTTTTTTTTTTATAGCTTAGCTAATCAATGAGGCTCATCTAGTGAAAAAAGTGGAAAATCAGTTTGATGTACCTTACTTTTAATGTACAAATATAAGTTATATTTTTTATATTAATGTTATGTTAAGACTGTCTATACCTAATTGGGTTAAATTAAATCCATTTTTTTTTTAATTTTTTTTTATTATTATTATATCCAGTAATAATTTTAAGTTATCTGCTTACTAATAGGCTCTTAGTCTTTTATTGTAAATGGATAATATTTGTGTTATATTCATACATTCTGTGTTATAATTAAAAATTATTTCATTGTTTTACTGATATTCAATTAGTTTACATTGTAATATATTTAGATACTTCAATAATAATTGATGACATGTAATTCACCTTTCATCATATTGTACATTTATTTCTTGTTAACTTTAGAGTTATTATACATTAGAAATTATAAATCTGTTAAAAATTGTATTGAGCGATTTACAAATATTAATACAAAACAAAACACAACAAATTTTATTCTTTTATAATATTATTTATTTAATTTTTTTTATGTAACAAAACATTATCATTAAAATAAAATTTTCTTATTGAATTTCATTATATATTAAAAAATGTTCAAAACAACTATAGTTAGATTATTTTAAATAATTATGCCATTATTTTAGATTATAATTATGTAAAAACAAAATCATAAAATACACACTTATCATATGTAATATATATATATGTATATATGTATGTAAATATATATTCATATTTTTATTTATTTTCCTTTTATAATATATATTAAATATATCAAAAAAGCAAAAAAAGTTCTAAATTTTATAAACTGTTGAAACATAAATTGTTTAATTTCAACAGTTATCTTTTCTTTACACTATTTAGGTAACTTGTAACACCGAGAATTTGGTCAACACCAAAGTTTAACAAATAATTTTAACATAATTTACTCGAAAATTATGTACAATAAATATTACGTTTTTATATAATATAATAACATATATGTATAAATATTATTAAATAAGTCTAAATGATTTTTAAAGATTCAAAAACAATTTTTCTTTCTGATATGATTAAAAATAGAAAAAATAGAGTGAAAATGTCTACACGTATTATTTTAAATATACTCCAATACTTATACATATATATATATATATATCGCGTTTATTTAATATTAGTTATAATAATATAATGATAAAAAAATGATTCAGTTTCTTTTCTGTCAAAAAAATATAAGCATTTTATTAACCACTTATGTAGTAATATCAATTTATATGCTTTGAACTTTAAAACAATACAAAGATTGGTAAATATTACATTACAATGTATATCATATAATCATCGTCCTATTTATATGCGCACAATGTGTACCTATTATATATAATTTATCATAACATTAATGTATTCATTTGCGGTGCATTGACTCATGTATACTTCTATCTTAGATTATTATTAATTTGTTTTGCGTACAAAAATATTAAAAAAAAAAAGGAAAGCTGTCCCAACTTCATCGTAATTATTATACAATAACATCATTCTCGATCACGAGTACACAAAAATGTTATTAATTTTTATCTCACTTGTAAACAATTAAACTATCCGTGTGTAATGTTCAATATGGAAATTAAACTGGCATCGAACAGCAGCGCAGTTCAACTGACTGTACTGATGATCCAATGCTGGATCTGCGCGTAAAGGGCCGTTGTTATGATGACCAATATATGATTTGCATTGTGTTGAGGGAGAATCGAATAAACCGTACGGATTTGTTGACAAATTAAACTATCGAATAATGATGTATATGGTTTATATGGAAGATATTTGTATTGTAATTTGAAATCGAAAATATGTACTTGGTATTATTGAATTTGAAAGTAATAAATCAAAATGTGTAGACCGATTATTTTTTGTGCAAAAATGTAATGATTTATAAATATTACAGTATATTATACTATTTCAAATAGATGAACAAAACTGTATTATCTGCCAAACTATGAAAATTAATTATTACATTATTAAAAATATTTCACTACAATAGTTAAATAACAATATTACAATAATTCATTTCCTTAAATACGAGTAGGTACCGATGATCAACCGGTTTAAAAACAATAATGGTTCATTCGTCAGTCGGAAATTATTATAGGAAAACAAAACTGTCAACTTCTTTTATCGGGTCCGTAATGGTAGATTTTACTTCAACGAATTTTTAACGTTCCACCCCAGGCACTGTATGTTTTATCACGGCCACGCGAGGTTTGTATGTTCACAGGATACATATGTATTATTGTAACATTAACATTAAGTATAGAAATGCGAATTTATACATCGATAATGTTTGAAAACTAATGTAGAAAAATCATCGAAAACTATGTATAATTCATAAAAAGTGTTAAACGAAAAAACAACACATACTTCCGAGGGGAAATTGTCAGTCGCTTATTATTATTATTATTATTTTAGGCTTTCTTATACACTACAAAAGTCTGTCATCTAAAATTACGGTTTACACATCGTATACAGTCTTTGTTTTATTTTCATATTATTTATTTTAAATGTACTATTTTTACATAATAATTTCTTAAGTTTTTTTTTAAAACATATATATATATATATAAATTAATTTTTTTGGGGAAAGCTGTGGGACGATTTTTTTTATATACCGATTGAGATATTTACTGTGGAAGACAGTGAGACACCAAAAAAACGCTTTAAACTATTATTATTTTATAGTCGGTCGTGAGAGGGAGTGTGGAATATTTAAGTGTTTATACATATATATAGGCCCGTACTGGCCCACTGGGAAACCGGGCAGATGCTCGATGCGTCCATGAAAATTACGGCTGCATAAATATTTTGGAGAGATATTCATTGTTTCTCATTAACAAGTAATAACCCGATGGTCTTCAGTAAAACATCATTGAAAAACGTTTATATTTTTGTGAAGATGCGTGTTAAACCTAAATTATGATTCTTTAAGCTGTAATATATTGGATTATAGATAACCTGAAGGATTAAATAACAAAAATTTTGGCGCCATTAAATATTTTGGTAACCGCCCCATAAGAGCAGCCAGTACGGACCTGCATATATAGGTACACTGCGATATATTGGGTAACAGACAAAAAATATTACTATTATAATAATAAACGCCTTAAAATATAATATAATATATTATTACATAATAACGTTGTTAGCGTACATAATAACATATATTTATTAGGTGATTGCAACACGAAAAGTTTGTTGCACGTCAAACGAACATCTCGCTCGATATGCTTGTTAAAAAAATTGCAATTTTTTCATATATGTATATATATATATATATATATATATGCAAGTAGGTTACATTTTTAGTAGAATGCCCTACGGCTTAAATTTTAATCACAAAAAAAATATATTATGTATATACTATATTTATATATATTTATATACCTATATTATAAATATAATAATTAAATAAAAAAAGACAACTTACTAAGACGATAATTTCACTACTTAAAAATAATAGTTTCTAACTCTAAAAAAAAACCCAAGTATTTCATAACTTTCATATGTATATAAAGAGTAAAAAAATACCAAATAAGTTAAAAAATTATAATAAAACATTTACTAAATAAAATTTTTAATTTAAAGCTTTAAAAATTAAAAAAAAAAAATTGCATGCAATTAAAATTGTATAATATATATATATTATATGATAAAATAATTATAATGATTTTTTTAAGTAAACCTCGATTTATATTGCAAAATGCAAGTACAAGTTTATGACTGGCGAGATCCATCGATAAATTTTCCAGTATAACAATTTTTATTTATTTTTAATTTTCTTAATATTGTCATAATAAATTTACTACATTTCTACAAAATGACATTTAAACAATACACTTTATTCTATTTTATTTTACGTATTTACTAGGCCAATTATATTATATTATAACTATTTATTTTTAAAATATATCTATTTTATGGTTTATTGCGATTAGATTGTTCCAGTTTTAGAAATGATTATTATTATTATGTAAGAGCATGCAAATCGAAAAAAAAAGTGATGATTAAAGGAAAAAGGGATATAGGTTGGGAGATTCTACATTTATAAATATTTTTACTTTAAAATTGATTTTATAAAAAAACATTTTTTTTTTTTTAATTTTTGCATTTATAATTGTTTTTTTCTGATCATATAACACTTATTTCTTAATCAAAACATGTTAATGTAATGGATAAATTAAATTTTTATCAAATGTATTTGTTTATAGTATACGAGTAATAAGTATATAAATATCGTTAACCTAACCGTAAAGTATCTTTAATTATTATCGTCGGATTCTATACGCATTATTTTTATTATTTATTATATAAATTAAGGTCTAATCCTCTCATTGGTAAAAATATTTTGTTTTAAAAAACGTCTCATTAAGTCTGTATGATAAGTCATAAATTGCTTAAAAAAAATAAATTTATATATGCATTAATTTAAAAATATTAAAAAGTTTTAGTCGAAAATAAGAAAAGAAAAAATAGTGTAAAAAAAAAACTAATAATAATACTTGCGGTGATGAATCACGTATATATACATATTATATCAAAGTAAATGTTATTTCAATAATTTTCTGTTATTAAATATGTATAGATATAAATTTTTTGGTTTTTCAAAGAAAATTAAACATTTCATTGTGTCCGCACAGTAGTCGCTACATACAACACGGTGAGTATTGTGATAGTCGAGTTCGGACAAAATGTAATATTTAAAATTTCGTCAAAAAAGAGAATTAATATAAGTATATATTATGCACAGAAACCATCGAACATGCTTTAATATCATCTTGAGATGATGATCGTGGTGGGCAAGAAAAGGTATCTAAAGCCCGGATCTACGTGACGATATTATATCATATGTAAATATCTATAAGTATAGAGAATATGTAAAATGAAGAGAAAGAGGTAGAAAATATATCTTTAGTGATTCCTGGAAAAAAAGAGGGGAAGGCGCGCAGAAGGGATTTCTTACATGTACATAACATATATATAATATATTCATACTGACGAATACATATATTATATGTATACACATATATATTATGTGGGTGTATATAATAACAATAATAACAAGGTGGGCGGATGAAGGGTGGTGGGGGCGCGCTTGTCGACCGTAAAACGATGGTGTTAGGGGGGTTCGGAGGCAAATTAAGTTAGAGAGAGGGGATTGAAGCAGAAGTGGGCGCTCTCTAACGTCTCGTAATCGCCGCACCGATCAATTGGCCACCAACAAGTGTTGGTAAGGGCTAGATCTGTACGACGACGATGACGACGACGAGCCCAGTCCCATATTGTTAAAGCTGCTGTCCATCTTTTGCTGCTGTTGAAATTGCTGCTGCTGTTGGACTACTGGAGCCGTGGCCGATTGCATTTGCATGCCATAGTTGGCTGGCGACAACGGTCCCATGGGTGAGCCGCCGAAGTGCCCGAAGTCACCGCCATAATTCTGCCAGCCGTTGCCACTGCTGCCGCTCCCGTTGGCGAACTGCAACTGCTGCGGCACGTAATCCGCTGTGGTCATGTTGCCGCTGTTTCGGTGATAGCCACCGTTGGACTGCCGCAGCCTTTGGTAGCCTGCGCTACCTCCCTGATTGTATTGCTGCTGCTGCTGGAAGAAGTAGTTGGACGCAGCATCACCGTTCTGGCCACCACCGATGCTACTGCTGCCAACGCCACCGCTGCCTCCTCGGTGGTGTTGCACCGGTGACACCGGCCGTTGTTGCTGCTGTTGGCCTACCCCACCGCCAGCTCCAACTACCATCTGCTGCTGTTGCATCGCTGCTCGCTGCTTGATATAGTTGGCGAATTCGGTCGGCGACATCCTGTTAGCAACAAAATGAACGGTCAGTCATGGGACATTGGCTTTTCGGCGAAATACTCGTACACACAATCGAACCAAAGTCAGTGTGTCTCAAAATGCACGCTTATTACACTACGCATATACTATAAGCATAATCTAATATATCCGATACTGTTGGAAGAACTCATTCAATCTCACAAATCTCACCAACTGTCAGTCGCTAGTGGATTTCAAAATTTCTTTAATAGCTTTATCTCCCTCCCCTCTATCTTTGCACCACTGAAATTTTGCTCTTTATCGACACGACGTGTATCGAGATCGTGAATATTCTTAATTATTTCTCGTTTACGCGCTCGCGAATGATTTTATTGATTGATATTCTCGGAGAATTCCTGCGTGATAAATGCGATGGATCGATAGGTTAGCCTTGCGCACGTCGTGGTATAAAAAACCCTCGAAAAAACTATTCGCTGTCCGTCGATAGTATAATTTAATATAGGTTACTACGAAAATGTGTGTAACATGTGTACATTACAAAGTTCGCGCAACATATTCAATCCGCGAACACCTGTACCGTTTTCCCGCATATGCTATGTAGTCGTAACGCAACGTAAAAAATAATTTGTAGTACGTATTGTATAGGCTTTAATGCTACATATTATATTATGTTGTGCACACACGTAACAGACCACAGTGCGATGGGTTAGATTTTCATGCTTTTTCACATAGCACAAAAAAAAATTTAAAAAATAATTTATATTGTAACGACATTTTAATTGTTTTAAACGGATTTTCAATATTAATATAACGGGGATAAATATATTTAATTTTCTCTATTTGTATCGAATAATTAATGTATATGTTATGTTTCAGGGTTCATGCTTTTAATAAAATGTTAGAACAAAAAGAAAATAATGAAATTATAACTTTGGGCCAAATAGTAACTTTGAACGATTAAAAATTAAATTATTACCTGTAAGGGCGACCATATATTTATAAATAAAGTATTATCAATATGGGTAAATTAGAAGGCGGATGAGGTGTATTTGATATGAGATTTTTATAAGATGCATCTGTTTGAATTCATATTTAAATTAAAGATTTTGTTTTGAAGTTAATAAATAATGTATCTTCAGTGTGCTCAATAAATTGTATGGGAGATTGGAGTTTTCTTGTCGAACCTCTTAAGTAAATAGGCCAGGATAAAATAGAACGACCTAGACACCCAGTTTAGTTTCTCTACCACAGTGGCGCTAAACCCGCGATACACGGCTCACATGTGACCCGTTACAATTTTTTTAAAAGAACACAAACTATTTTAAAAAAAAGTAAAATTATTATAAAATTCGATTTTTTCAAATTTATATATCTTATTTTCAAAAATTTTCAAATAGAAATTTCACGATATAACCCATGCACTTGATCAGCGTACTAATCAAATTAACCTACAGCATGTACCTTAATTTGTAACCTTTTCAGTAGTGAATAAAATATTTGAAAACAAATTCAATACGTAACTACATGTATACCTACTAGGGTAATAAAATAATATTATTAAATTAAAGTTGATATTATTTGTACTTTTATATCTGGTGGCCCGCTCTAAGATAATTGTTTACCTAAGTGGCTCATCAAGGAAAAAAAGCGGTAAAATACGATTGAGAAGGCTCGAGTTTTTTTTTCAACGTTGCCAAATGTAATCGATCGATAATATGAGCACAATAATCTGTTGATATTTATCGGACTTTTATCGGATTAGCTGGATGTTAATAGTAACTTAGATACCAGATACGAGAGAATGACGGTTAAGCTTTGCAGTCGTCGCACAAACTATTCGTTAATATAATATAACATACTACATAGCATATTTATTAAAATGGAAAAGAACGAAATTAAAATTATAAGAAGTAACCGAGGTTAGAGAGACCTAATATTATTAGTAAGTAATAAATTTTATAAATTCTACATATTTTAAAATTTTTTTATACATATATAAGTATTAGATATTTTTTTGAGTCCTACATATTTGTAATTTTTAATTCTTATTATATATTACATATTATTAGGCACTTATTTGTATACGATTATAATTATTAATTTATGACTTTTTCAAGAATACTAATTGTATGTATACTACATTTTTAAAAGCCAAATAAATGATATGGCAAACTATGGCAACGTTGCACTTAAATTCGTTCTCAATCGTATCGTTTTTTAGGTTTTTTTTTGGGTCAGAGGTAAGTTTTTTGTTAATTTTAAGTGTTCTCAATCGTTCGGCCAAAAAGGTATAAAGTTCTCAATCGTTCGATAGTCAAAAAAAGTTGAACCTCACTGGACTATCCCAAGTCACACAGATGACACAGATGTCTCCAACAGCGTGTATTGACGGTTTAATAACCAAAAAATAAAAAAAAATAAACATCGGCAAGCTTTTGGTGTGCCATCTGTCATAATTAAACGTATTTGTCGTTACGATTGCGGTTAATTTGACACCTTTCGCAGTCGCGTAGGTACGTACATACATGTAATGACGTAGTTTCGCAATGGACGGACGGTTTACGTGACCTCTAAAAGAAAAACGGTACGCTCATATGCGTGCACACGGTCGTAATAGCTATACACATACTCTCGCTTAAACGCACGCACACACACACGCAAGCAAACTGCACTGATTCTGTGCACATAATAAGACTGCAGCTAGCTTGTATGTACAGGACGTTTCGACGAGTAGAACAAATGTTGATCGTTGCATCTATTTCGGTCGGACTGTATTCTGAAACGGCGACGGTGGTTCTCTCGTTTTTGGCTCGCTAGCCAACTATTCCACGATGACCGCGACCTGGTATAACCCCCGTTTATTCACGCTGCACTAACGCACACTTAACCCTTTTACGCTCTCATACACATCGTCATCAATCGAATGCATAAAATATCCACGCACTGTCCGAGCATCCCTCTACACGCATACCATCGCCCTATAATCAAAACGTTTCCGCCTACTTGTTTAGAAATTCAGTCAACAGAAACCTGTTAGCTCGCTTGTTGTTGGACTTAAGTTTGGTGCTGCCGAACTTGGTCTGTGCGAATGAAGCCGTGGTGAACGTCAGCGGCGCGGACGGCTGCCGGCACGGCACGTAAGCGCTGCCGCCCGTGGCCGCCACCACTGCGGCTGGGCCGCAATCGTTCGGACTCCGTGGTTGCTGCTGTTGCTGAGCTGGTTGCTGACTGCTGCAGCCGTTAATCGTGCTGCTACTGCTACTGCTGCTGCTGCTACTGCTGCTGCTGCTGCTGCTGCTGCTGCTGCTGCTACTGCTGCTACCACCTACGCACGGCTTGGTGAACAACAACGGATTATGCTGTTGTTGCTGCTGTTGTTGGAGGTGGTGATGGAGATGAGTCGGAGATGAATTGTTGGAACCACTGCCCAGAGGCGGAGAACCTGCCGAACACTTGTCCGGTGGTGAAATGCTTAATGAACTTAGGCTGGACGCAACCGAGTCGATGGGCCGGAAGCATTGAGCTTCAGGGTTAAACGTTTTGATGACCTATACAAAACACAGCAATCATTAATTAAACTTATACATTTTTAGCCACACAAAACTTCAATCAATGTAATATAATGTTGCCTTAAGTCGATTTTAGGTTAACGACCAATTACGAGACCCAATCTTGATTTGAATGAAAGACCTTTACAAAAAGGTCATTTCTCGAATATATTCCTCACATTTGAAGTCAACTAACCAAAGTGATCATTAGTCATTTACATTATATTTACACAATACGTTTATAAAAGCTTTATTACATCGAATATAAAGCTATTTAATAATTAAAATTAAGCAACGACGTTTTCTGAGAATAAAAGTGGCCCTTGTCATATCGACGGATTGCCACTTCTCGCACAACTTATAAACCCACCATGTTATTTGTATGTATAGAGAAATAAAATATAAAGAAAGTTTGGGTAGTAGTATTATATAAAAGGCCCTAATGAAGTACCTTCTGAATTGTTAAAACTGCTTGATGATGATAGATTAGATATGCTAGTTGATTTATTCAATACAATATATGCATCAAGAAATATTCCAGAAGAAGTATGGTTAAACTCAACTTTTATTACATTTCCTAAGAAAAATAACCTAAAAAAATGTTCAGACTATAGTACAATAGCTCTTATGAGTTATACTTTGAAATTATTTTTAAAGATCATACGCGGAAGAATATGCGCTAAATTGGAAAATGAAATAAAGGAGAATCAATTTGGGTTTAAACAATGAATGTAGACCAGAGAAGCATTATTCGATATACATACCCCTATGTAAAGGTCCTTAAATATAAATAAAAATATTTTTACTTGTTTTATAGATTTTACCAAAGCATTTGATAACGTACAACATGACAAATTAATTAACATATTAATTAATAAAAATATTGACAGCCATGATATAAGAATAATTTCAATTCTCTATTGGAACCAAACTACCAGAGTTAAAGTGGACGATGAGTTCTCAGATGAAATACAAATTCAACAAGGAGTTAGAAAAGATTTTGTTTTATCTCCTCTATCATTCAATATTTACAGTGAAGCAATATCTGAAGAAGCTATGCTATCCTCCATGAACATATTGGTATTAAAGTAAATGGGAAATTCGTCAACAACTTAAGATATGCTGATGACATAGTCATTCTGGCGGGTACCATAGCTCATCTGCAAAGAAAAATGAATAGGCTCAATATGCATGCAACATATATAGACTTGAGATGAATGGTAAAAAAACTAAATTCATGTTAATAACAAAAGATCAAATAGACAATCGTAATGATTAATCTAAATTAATCATGAACAACGCCATAATAGAAAGATTATACTCATATAAGTATCTTGGAACATGGATTAATAGCAACGGGGATAACTCGAAAGAGATCAAATGTCGAATTGAAATTGTTAGATCAACATTCTCTAAGCTAAAAAAAAAGTTTTTCAAACCGAGATCTACCTTTGGATTTAAGAACTAGGATATTGAAATGCTACGTATATTCTACCCTGTTGTACGGGATGTAAACTTGGGCACCATAGAAAACAAATATTAAAAAATTATAAGCATTTGAGATGTGGTGTTTCCGTAGAATTCATAACATATTTTGGATTAATAATGTTATAAACGCAAAAGCTTTGAGAAGAATAAGCAAAAAATTAGAGGTGATAAACAATATAAAATCTAGAAAGCTGCAATATTTTGAACACATGTTAGGGGGGGGGGGGGTAAGAAATATCAACTCTTACATTTATTAATACAGGAAAACATTTGTGCTAAGAGGAGCAAGGGAAGAACCAGAATAAACGGGTTGCAAAATTTAGAAGAGTGGTTCCAATGCAATATTAAGGAACTATTCAATACAGTCAAAAACAAAGACCTTATAGCCATGATGATTTTCAACCCAAAGATATATAGAAGAGGAAAATTAAGTAGAAGAAGATATATAAGGTCGTTTCTACATTAAGTATTTGGATACGCTATATATATATGCGTACATCTATATCTATATGAAACAAAATAACTCTCCCGTTCAGTTGCATCCAAATACGATTACAAATTAAACATGCATTTATAGTTTTATTTCGGAAACACAACAATCTTGTAACCAAATAATACAACACATATAATATATGAGCAAAAGGGATTGAACGTTTTAACTTCGATCGCATTGTTGTTTTCCTGTATTACGCGTATACACAGCATACACATATGTATATACACATATACGCACGCGTGCGCACGCACACTCATATAATGGCTGCACTCAAATAATTTTAAACTTTCATTTATAGCATTTCTGCGAGTACTGTAGTATGATATGTTATGTATTATATATATATATATATATATATATATATATGACGTGGATAAATTCCCCGTGGACTTTAATTTTCCATCACGAAAATAAATTATTTTTATTTTTTAATATATTTTCATTTCACCACCTCTGCTGTAGTTCTACACTTGAGTACTCTTATAAACATAATATTACGTATCTAATGCATTATAACAGTTTATGAGCTTGGACCCTGTTTAAACACAAATCATATATACAGTGACACTTCAATCTCCGAATTCACTCCTGAGATAATATTTAAGTTATTTCAAGTATAAAAAAAAAGGGAAAGAATAGAAAAATTAACGCAAACGTACCTCTCTGTCAGCGGTTCTGTCGTCGTGGGTGTCAAACTGGAGACCACCACTGTTCTCGTTGTACAAGATTTTCACGGCTCCTTTCTCACCAATGCGGTAGCTCACTTCACCTGGGTCCACCCAAACAGCTAAGTCTTGCGGCAAATTCTCCAAAACGTCTTGGATGGCTACACCGCTTTCGCGGGATGCCTTCTCGAACACCGGATCAATCGGCGATCCCGTTTTAATACACCGATACGCTGAACCACGGTACGGCTTCTCTGGGTACCAATGACCAGCGAATTTCTCGGTTAGACATTTTTCTAATTCTTCGCCAAAAATGTTCACTCGACGTCTAGGTAGTTTGTTGTATAGGTACGAGATCACAAAGTTCAACGCGACGCTAACCTCAATATGCATCTTGATGCGATTTCTGGAAAATAATAAGACGTTATTATTAATTATATTGTACGTGATGATCGGTCAGTATGAGTATTATTTATATTTAATATAGATATTCATAAATCAATATTTTAAATTCAGTGAACATAATATGTTCAAAACATATATATATATATATATATATATATATAAATAATTAATTATATAAATAAATAATTCTGTTGGACGGTTTATTATAAAAACGATGGGGACCGATTATTCGTTAGAAAATTTATTGGTTACTTGTTTTGGTAGCATCAGATGATTTTAACATACGATGTAATAAAATTATAACTTTAATTTATATTTATTCACGTGACCTGTTCACGTCATAATTTTAAACGGCCTTATTCATAAGTACACATTTTCATGGATAAAATTGCATAAAATGTATTTATAAATCGTTATGATAACTTTTAATTATTTTTTTTCTTTTCATGCGAACGGAATAAAGTGATATCTGAAGAGCACAGGGCAAAGGCTAAATTATAAACTACGAATGAAATATACATTAAATTATAATTCTCGCGGGCATAATATATTGTGACCGTCACGAGGCATTACATAGCCATATAGATGTTAACTAATTATAATACGGTAGGTCTAATTCCTAAATAAATCCAGCTATCCTCGTACAAAAAAGTACGTACAATAATCGATATTGGAAAAAAACAATATCGCACAAACATCACGTATAATATTACGAGTATAATGTATGCGCGCGTTTGTATTGTATTATAATTTGTAATATATCCATATGGTCGATGTAGGAAAAAATAGTGCGGCGGCGTCAGCGAATGCTTTACAACTCGTTGACCTATAACGAACACAGGAATGAGTTCATGTTTAATGTGTGTATGTGTGTGTGTGTGTGTATGTGCAAAGGTCGTTATCATGGAACAAGCTGACGAATGTTTTATTATTCCAAGAACTTGGCGAATTTGTGGACAGTAAAACGATATCGAAGAAAGAAAACAGAAGGTACCTTTAATCGGTATATAAATGCTATACCATGTAGGTATGTGAAATATTCACCAGTGACTGCAGTTAAATAAAAATATGATTTACCTTTAAATATTAACTACCTATTGAAAAGATTATTTTTCACGCATTACGAAGTATAAAAGTTTGTTGATTAAAAGTCCATTGGATATCTTTTCGGTTGTTGTGTGGTAAAATTATATTGTCAGTATGGGAATAATTCAAAATAAAATATAATATTTTAATTATGTAAAAAATTATATTTGATATAAATATTCACAAGGATTTTTTTAAACGTAACTTATTCACAATTTTAGATGATATGCATAATATAGTAATAGAAATTATGATGATATTTAAATACTTACGAAACGTTTGTGAACATTTGATTTGAATGATTGAACCAGACATTTGAATCGATCTACGAATAAATGTTATCCTCCTCCTACCCAACTAGAAGTCCATTAAAATGTATGCGGCACGTAAAGCCAAAAAATATAGCTATTTCAGAGACACACAGTTATACTAATATATTATCACTATTATACTTCAATATTCATATATACGACAGCTTTTAAATGGCAGACGTACGTGTATACCCAATATTATTATGATTTAAAAGTTACATGTATAAGTATACAATAAGTTAACTGGACACGAATTTAGTATAGCGTGTACACGGACGAGGCATTTGTTTGCGACACGCGACGACGCACGGTGGCGGTGTACTAACTGGTAACGCATGACGTACGCATACACCTACCGCGAGACTGAATAATAATATCCGCACGGGCCCAACTAATTAACATCCAACTACCAAGGTATTGGTATATGCCATTTACCGGTGTACGTATTCATGGGTTTGTACGTACAATATACAATATAATAATGTAATATGGTAACGAACATACGCATTGCGGTTGCTCGCACGCGTGTGTATTATTCTGAATAAGCTGTATAGCTGTTGTAAATATCAAACGTATGTAAATGTATTATTTACGAGTATGTAAACCGATATATAGGTAAACACAATAATAATAATAATAATAATATGTATGTGACATAATGCGATGGAAGAGCAACAGTGGCTGTATATGTTACAGTCGCATCATGCGCGTTGTCCGCGGTTTAAAACGGCCTAACCTATATATTATTCGCGTCGTCCACAGATGTATCTATATACTTAAATATGTGTACATACATACACACACACACACACATATATATATATATATATACGTGTGTGCGTGTGTTCTAGAATAGAACCGTTCAGCCCTAACCAGGATGTTTGGCATCGTTATTACAACCATTGTTCGTATCGTGGCCGAAGGTCGAACTAATATAATGACATAAATCGCAATAATATATATAATATGGGCCGTATTTTACGTGCGTGCGTGCGTGCGCGTGTGTGTGCTCGCGCGTGCGTTTCGTTTATTTTCGCTGCTATCGCCACCGCCGTGGATATCCCGATATTCCTTATAGTATTTTATACGAGAGCAACACATATACGTACAATATTAATTCCAATGGTTGAAATGAAAATTGTTGTTTTATGTGACCTTTTGTTCACTATACTTTTTCGTTTTCGTAGTAGGTATTACCTATTACCGATGAGTTCCAACACGCGAAACCACCCCCTTGACACGTACCCTAAGATTTAGAGCTCCACATGTATGTATATCTCATACCTATTTGCATGTGTGTTTACAAAATATCCAAGTTTTTGTTGTTTCTCATTACATTTACATTTTTTAACTTCCCTCGACTTTCCTTTACTAGTAAGTAGCATTTTTATTTGAGTTATATTTGAGTTCATATTTTTTCACATGAAACTAAAACATTTTAAATAAATAGCAATGCACACATAAATATTTAAAATTTAAAATAAATTAACTTTCAAAATGTAAATAGTTTAATTAAGTTTGAATGTTGAAAATGTATTATATTATGTGAAACAAAGCCGTATCTGGGGGGGGGGGGTCCAGGGTGTCTGGACCCCCGACATTTCTTCAATATTTTACGAATGTTTAAAATAATTATTCATTTTTAATACTAACATAAATATTTTCAGTCAAAAATGACTAAAGCTCTAATTAATCATTGACTGCTTTTAATTTTGTATTATAATAACATATTTTCATATGATATTAATTTTAATAAAAGAAGATTAAATATTTTTCTGTCTTATTTTTAACCAAATATCAAAAGTTAAAATCTAAATTCAATAAAATTATAACGTACATGTTTTGGACCCCTCCCGAAAAAAATTTCTATATACAGCCTTGATGTGAAATATACATAAATCATTTCATACAGTCAATTTTCAAAAATAGAAACCCAATTGTAGAACACTTACTACTACATTTAATACCCATAGTTATCTCATACTAAAATTTAATATTTAACTTAAAATTAAGCTCGTTTCGTTTAGAATCCGATTTGACATATCCTCCACCGCCTAAGCATCTAACACCACTCTCGCCTGGACGGATTTTGAGAAATATATTTAAAAAAAAATTCAACATATATAACAACTGAAAGATTCCTTTTTAATACGTATAACATACAACCAAATGTGTAAATGAATATATATAAACATTAGATAAGTACATAATAGATTTTGAAAATGTAGAGAAAAATTTGAATAATAAAATATGCAAAATATCCACTGACGATTGGCTGGAACGTGGCCGTACATAATATATTGATCCGTTGCCAATCGCCGTGGACGTTTTTAATGTTCTTAAAATAATATTCCACGGCGATTCAGCCAAGGCCGATGGGACAAACAACACACTAATTTGTTTTTTCTTTTTAATTTTTAATTTTTTCGACCGTTTAGGCCTGAGTTATGTAAAATAAAAATAAAATAATACTATTATTTAAATGCGTATGGTAATAAACTTTGGCACTTCACGCGTTATATTATACAATCACGAATGTATACCGGTATCTATTAATAAACCAACGACTCGTTGAAGTTCGTCCACCATCGTTATTCCTAAATTTACCCTACCCAAAAATTGTCAAAAAAATGTTGACGCATGTGTATAAAACACGTGGCCTGCGTATAAAAAAGTACCAGCATATTGTAAAGTTGTTGTCTTACGAAAAGCCAATTTTACAATTTTCATTATAATATGTTACTATACAAAAATAATTGATATTTAGAATTACTAAAAAACTGATTTTCTTATATTTTCCAACTTGACTATTTCATTTACTTATTTAAATTTAAAAGTTTATCAGTATTCAAATTACTCCGTTTTCTTTTGGTTATTTTTTATAATTAGTTTAAATTACAAAAACGTATTTAATATTTTTATTTTATCACGTTTGAAATAGAATAAATAGTAAACGCCTGTATGTAACTATATAGTGTTACTAAAATTTAATGTTAAACAACATTTTTATTACCTCGTTGTTAAATTAAAAACGCTAAAGCCATTGTTCTAATGCAATCCAGGTGCTATAAGTAAAAAAAAAACAAATAAAACTTTACTTAAAGTTAGTATTTTTTCTTTATATGTACTTACTTTAAAATTGAAAAGTAAAATTTATTATTTGCTAACTATTAACTTATGTCTGGATGTCATTCTATTGACTTGACCGTCTTAATTTAACCAGTCCAAATTGATTACTAATTTGTCTTTTGAATGTAAATAACCTGAACATTTGTAATAGGAGTTGTTTCAAATATATTAAGTTTTAGGTATTATTTAAAAAACACAATTTATTATTCGAATTAATGGTACTTAATATTATTCATTTTATCTTTATAATTTAATGAATAAAATATTTTAAACTCATTTTAATATCATATTTTACACTGCCGTAGAATAATAATACGATAGGAAGGTTCGGAGAAAAAACCTAATAACCAACAATATAATCACTCATACTTTTGCAGAATGCATCTGTATTAAACTCAAAATGAAACGAATTCAAATATATTCTACAAAAATCGAGATATTTCACGGAGCAGAGTCAAAACATATATTTCGAACA